CAAGTGCTTAGAAAAATAGATTTCTGAGCTTCTAAGTGGCTACCGGCCTGGCCCCCAACAGCCCCAGGAGCTGCAGAGGCCTTAACCCCTCCGGGACCAGCTCTGGCCACTTCTCTCCGCTGCCCTTCCCTCCCTCTCTGACCCAGCCAGGCTCCCTGCCCACACCAGCTCCCTCCTCGCCCCCTACTCCTTGGAGCAGCCCTCTATGCCAAGTTCCATGTAGGGAGCAGGGGGCCCCTCACCCCAGCCTGGTTGGAGCCCAGCACAAGGTTGAGCTTTCGTTGCCCCCTCCCCTGCTCCCTGCCACCACTTTCCTGCAACTACAGGTAGCCCTGGTCTCCTTTCCTTGCTCATCTGGGAACAACCACACTTTCTAAACCTGAACTTGGGATTCCAGGGCTAGCGGTCAGAGCTAACCAAGGGGAAAAGAGGCCAGAATGTCTGGACAGGGGCTGTTACAGCACATGCCAAAAGACAGCCTCCCCATGGGGCATGATTATGGTATTGCCCTCTTTGCTCAGCCTGCCAGGGAGCTCAGAGCTCAAATTAAGGCTCTTATACAGTAGCTAGTGTTGGCCGATGGATTTTGGAATACTTCGTCTTCTCCACATTCTTTAGAATTCCATTTCTGTTATAATGGGCAAATCAATCATGCTTTTTATTTTAATCCTCCTCCAATTTTCTGAGTACAGATTTAAATTTAAATTTAAAAGGTGGAGATTACCCATAATCCATAGCAGCTCTGGCCTCTCTCAAATTTGTTCTTTCTTCTGGGGAAGGAGGTCTGCTCAGCCCAGCTCGCTATGGAGAGGCACCTTCTGCTCCATGCTGTGGTGACTCCCCTTGTCCCTGGGTCCCACCACACAGGTGCCCTGTCAGTAGGCAGGCCGGTAGCAGTGGTTTCCAAGAAGGTGGAGATGTGTGTTGGGAGATGGAGAACTCCCGGGGGGAGGTTAAGCAGCGCCCTGGGGGTCCCCCAGGACCTCCCAGAGAAGGTGAACTAGGCCAAGACGTGAGGCTCCCTTGGGCCCTGTTTCTTCCATCAAAGCACTCAGCCCGGTGGCAAGGCAGAGCAAAGACTCCAGCAACAGCCGCATCTCTGGGCCAAGCACTCCATTCCAGGGGTAGCGGAGTGGGAGGCTCTGACCGGGGGCTCTCCACGCCCTGGCTTCCAGCAGCAGCCTCGATGGCCACCTAAGGGGTTAGCAGGCAGGATTGGAGTCTGCACTAGGCAGGGGGAGGCGAGGAGGATTAGCTGCAGGGACCTCGGCTGACAGCCTGCCATGATCCCCACACCCAGGGCACTGTGCAGCCACCCCCTCCCCCACCAGCCACAGCATCCCTCCCCGCTTGCACCCGCACAGGCCCCAGCAAGCCGGGCGGCCTGGCTCTGAGTCACCAATCAGGCTGGGTTGGGCCAGGCTGCCCAACAGCCCCCGATTCCAGCCCAAGGCCTCCTATACTCGCCTTCACTGGGGACCCCATGAGTGTGGGGCTTGGGAGAAGGGTGGCCTTGCTGGGGGGAGTGGACAAGGAGGCATAAAGCCTGAAGGGAGTGGGGCGGCCCTAGGACTCCTACACCCCCACTCTGACCCTCTGCAGACTCTCTAAGCCCCTGCACCTGCTCCCTGGCCTGAGGTGCCCCAAGGGGGCCTCCCTCATGGGGTCCAGGAGGCCTGCAAAGGGTCCCAGGGGAAAATCTCCATCAGGAGAGCCATGCTGACACAGTGGCGACTAATGGCTCATTTTTAGAAAGTGTCACTGAGCTGTTGGGAAACACAGCCCAGATGGCATCGTGAGTACCAGGCCTGGTGTCAAGGTAAGGCCCTGCGAAACGCTGACTTGGAAATAACAGTTGTGACCAATACAATTATTTTTTCAGTGATAATAAAAAAGGCCTTCCAGCAATGCCCTCCCCGTGGTGAGGGTGGGATGCGCTGGACGACTCCCCCCGTGCTGGCAACAGGCAGTACTGGGGCCTTTTGGAAGCAAATTGGCAGAATCTGCCAAGAGCCACAAGGACCTCCTGTTCTCTGACCTGGAGGCCGGCAGACATTCAGGAGAGGCCAGTGGAGAGGTCACAACGAAGGGAGCCCTTCAGACTGCGTGCCACGGGAGGAACCAGCGGCCACAAGCCGTGTAGACAGCAGTATAAGACACAGGTCCACTTGCTGACCCCTGGAGACCAAGAATGTGACCTCGTTCTTTGTGGTGTTGTTATATTATGCTCTTGGGATGATCTTGGATGACCTGGGTGGGTCCTACCTCCAATGGCAAGTGTTCCTATAAGGGATGGAAGAGGATGGGAAGAGGAAAAGGCCGTGTGACCTGGGGCACAGAGTGGGTAGCAGTGACCCGGCCACCAGCCCAGGAGCACCTGGAGCCTCAGAGGCAGGAAGAGGCAGGAAGGACCCCCCAGCCCCCGGAGCCTCAGGGGGAGCAGGACCCTGCCCACACTTTGATTTCCAACTTCTGGCCTCCAGGACTATGAGAGACCACATTTCAACCAACCGGTGTGCGGTCATTGGTCACAGCAGCCTTAGGAAAGGAAGACGGAGCATGAAGTATCCAGGCCTGGCACTGGAGCAAGAGGAGAGGCACGCTCCCTCCGGAAGGCCCCAAGTACAAGGGCCCATCCCCCAACAGCCTCTCATCTCGTTAGTGCTGCCCAGTGGCCAAAGCCACACAGGGGTGGGACAGGAGGGGGCCCCTGATACTGTGTGGGCTCAGGCTTATTGGGACAGACAGAAGCACGTAGAGACCACTAACACAGACCCATAAACCCTGTGGGCACTTGGGCCATAGAGACAGTCTAGGAGGCGAAAAGCAGGAAAGTTACTCAAGGGAGGGTGGCTGGATGCCCACACTTAGAGACCAAGGGATACAGGACGCTTTTCTCAGGGGCCCAGGGGGGATCTCTGGGTGCCATCCTGGGAGGGAACCTGCAGGGGACAACCAGAGCCTTTCCTGGGCCTCAGAAGGGTCCCCTGAGAAGCCATCCGTCAGGTGCCAGCGGCCAATCCTCTCCCCTGCAGCACTCTGCCGCACCTGTGCAGATTCCTGCACCCCCCCCCCACCCGCCTGCTCTGTCCACAAGCAAATCTGGAGGACAAACCTAATCCAGTTCACACAGACGAAGAGGGTTAACAGGGCAACAATCCACACCCATCCTTGTATATTGAGTGATTGATTCATTAAGTAACTTGTTAGGGGCACCTGGTAGCTCAGTTGTTTAAGCTTCTGACTCTTGGTTTTAGTTCAGGTCATGGTCTCAGGGCCATGACATCGAGCCCTAAGTTGGGCTCTACGCTCAGCGGTGGGGGGCGGTTGTCTGCTGGAGAGTCTCTCTCTCTCTGCCGCTCCTCCCACTCATGAGCACTCTCTCTCATATATATATATATATATATATATATAAAAATAAATAAACCTTTTTAAAAAAGTAGCCGATTAGTTAAGGAACTGGCTAGTATATTAGAGCCATATATGCTGCTGTGGCCCCTGGGACGGTATCCCGGGAGGGGACCTAGGTGGGGCTAACCTGGGGCTATGCACTGGGGGTACAGACAGAGGGCCCAGGGCCAGCAGAGTGCACTCGGGCTTCAGGAGAGCAGGTAACAAGAGCAGCATGCCCCACAGGTGCCCACTGCTCAGGTGGACGCCCTGGGGTCGCAGGAGGGCTCCCTGGGGGTGGGGCTCTTCTAGGTCCCTGAAGTCTGGCCTCAGAGGCTGGGGTTTCTCCAGGTAGGCATTTTCAAAACACAGGCTACCCGCTGGATCTGCGGGGGGGGGGGGGGGCTTCTAGTGCCCGGTTTAGGGGGACTTTCATGGCCCATTTTCCTGATGAACACCCAGAGTCCCAGAAGCCATGTGGTCCAGAGGCACTTGGGTGGGACAGGCCAGAGCCCTGCCCGTGTCTCCCCTCCCTTCTCTGGTGCCCCTTGGGGTTTGCGTGGGAGAAGTGCCCTTTTCCCCCTGAAGGTCACGTCGGTCACGTGAGGTCCTATCCATTTCAAACCTGTCCCACCCAGCAGGGCCCAGGACTTGCCACAACTCCGCCAGGTTGAGCTCTGCCCTCAACTACCCTCATCCTTCCCCAGAGCCCTGGGGTTGGTGTCCCCTCTCTGCGGCCCCCAGCCCCTGCTCTCCATTCTGATGCCTGGCCAGCGCCCCATCTCCAAACTTGTTTTCTCCTGGAGGACTGGGAGTAACTTGGGCGGCTTAGCTACAGGCAGCAGCGAGGCCCAAGCTTCTGGGGTGCAGTCCGCCAGTATTCCAGTCCCAGGCAGACAGGCAGAGCCGCCCTCACTCCTGGGGCCTTTGCACACACAGTTTCCCTGGCCTCCATGCGCCCCGGGGCTTGTCCACCTGAGGACCGGCTGCTCACCTCAAGCTAGAGCTTGAGCAGCTCCTTCTCCGTGAAGGCTGTCTGATAAGCTTCACCCACCGGGATACCCCCCCTTTCCATGTCCCCGCGTTCAGTGGTCGGAGGTCCTGATCCGAGGTCGGGTGGCGACTGGGACTGTGAGTCACGCAACTGGAGGACCGCGCTCGGCCCCTCCGCGCGCCCGCCGGGTCCAGTGGGGCGACGCGGTGCGGCGGGGGTTATCTCGCGCGTCCAGCCCGGGCTCCCACGCCCTCCGAGACCGCCAGGCGCCCCCACCCGGCCCCGCCCCCTCTAATCCCCTCCGCGGGCTGGGTCCCGGCGAGTCGCGGCCCCGCCTCCCGGCCGCCTCAGGGGAGGGGCGTGTCCCGCGCCCTGCGAGTCGGGGCGGGCGTGGCCCGGCCGGGGTGGGCCCGAGGGCGGGCCCGAGGGCGGGGCGGCCCGGGGCCGGCCCCCACTGGCTGCCGCGCTCCAGGCCGCCCGGGCTCAGTGCACGGTGGCGGCGGAGGCGGCGGAGGCGGCGGTGGTGGGGCTCGCTGGCGCCGCGCAGTCCTGCTCCGCCGGGCGCACGGACGCACCGGTCAGCCAACGCTGCAGGCAGGGGACGCGGGCGCTGGGCCACGAGCGGAGCAAAAGCCACACGCGGCGAGTGGACGCTAGCGGCCGCCAGGTCGGTGCGCGGGCGCGGAGGGGTCGAGGCGGGCGCGCGGCGAGGCCAGAGCGCGCGGCGGGCTCACGTCCCGAGCTGTCTCTGCGGCGGGGCCCGGCGGGGGCGCAGGCTTCCCGCTCTGGAAAGTTTGCCGCCGCCGCCGCCGCCGCCGCCGCCGCCGCCGCCCTGGGAGGGCTCCGCAGAAGTCAGGGAGGGAAGGGGGAGGAAGGGAGGGACCGCGGCGGGGAGGAGGCGGCCGGCGCCAGGCGGCCCGGGAGCCCAGGGCGGTGGCGGCGGGCGGGGCGGCCGGGGGTCGGCGGAGCCGGGGCGCAGGAGCCCAACCACCGCCGCTTCCGCCCCTGCGCGTCCCGGCTCCTCCCGGGTAACGAACTGCCGCCTTCTCCCGCAGTCTCCCGAGGGGCGCCCTCCTCCCGCCGATTCCCGAGCGGGGCCATGGGGGGCAGTACGCCCGCGCGCGCCGCCTGAGGACGTCGTCGCCCTCGCCCCCACTATGGGCGCCCCGGCTCGCGCCCTCGCGATCTGCGTGGTGCTGGCGGTCATGACCGGCGCCTCCTCGATGCCCCCGGGCATGGAGCCGCGCGTCTTGCGGAGAGCGGCAGGTAAGGGAGCACCCGACGGGTACCGGAGAGGGGCGTCGGGGGCCCAGGAACGGGTTGCTGGGTGGGTGGGGGCGCCGGATCGGGGTGCGCCCGAGGGTGCGTCCTGGGCTGGCCCTGCGGAACCGGTGCCCGGGTTTCTGCAGCCCTCCCAGAGCTGGCGTGGCAGTTTGTGGGGCTCCTGGAGCCTCGGGGCTACTACCCAAGTGCGGAGCTGCGGCAGGGAGCGGGACGCGACTGCGGCGTCCGCAGCCACTGCCCCCCGCGGTTCCCCAATGGGGTGCAGCCTAGCCCCGGGCAGCATCGGGAGGGCGCGGGGCTGCGTTTCCACGATTCCGCGGGCCGTCCCTGACGGAAAGTTCCTATTGTTGGTGCTGCAGTCCCAACCCGCCTCCGTCCCGGTTCATGACTTGGGCCCAAAGCGCGAGACCGCATTTTGGAGGGAGGGTGTGAGTGCGTCAGTCTGCCACCCGGGCCCTGCCCCCCCCCCCCCGTGGCCTGCGTGACGACGCTACACCGTCTAGTGCCTCCGCTCGCCAGCCCTGCTCTCCTGCCAGGTGGCTGAAGGTGTCTGCCCCCCGAGGGCGCGCGCCCGACTCCAGGCAGGGCGCCGGCGGGGGAGGGAGGAGAGGGCGGGGGTCCGAGGGCAGTGGAGCCGCGGACCCTAGCCGGCAGTCAAGGTCGGGTGGACTTCGGGGGTCCGCGAGGGGCCAGTCCGCGGAGCGCCGGGGAGGGGAGGGAGCGCGTCCGTGCGCCAGGCTCCGCCCCGCACACGCGCCGCGGCCCTCGAGGTGCAGCGCGCGCGGCCTCCTGCTGAGCCCGCCTTGCGCTCCGGGCGGCGCCGCCCCGCACACGCGCCGCCAGGCTCCCGGCTGCGCCGGGAGGAGAGGGCCTGCCCGGGGGTACAGGCGATTCCGGGGGGACAGCCGATCCCAGGCGCACAGGCGATTTCGGGGGCACAGCCGACTCCAGGGGCACAGGCGATCCCGGGGGCGCAGACGACCCCGGGGGCCGCGCGGAGTGAGGCCTTCGCCCGGTGAGCTCACGCCCCACCCGGGCGGGACCCGAACAGCCGCTCCTTTGTACCCGGCGCGGCCACAGACCGCGCATTGATGGCGGCCGCGGCGGCCTCGCGGGGAGGTGTGAGCTGAGCGGCGGCGGGTGCGCCGTGCCAGGGAGGCGGCGGCGGCGGGCAGGACGGAGGCAGATGGCGGCCCTCCCCTCCCCGCGCCCCCGCGCTCCTTTCTACGGCGGCGGCTGCAGCCTCCCGGAACAATGTCATTTTTTTATGAATGAAATGGTCCCGGCGCTTGAATGTGTGTGTCATTCAGCGACGTGACAGAGGCCGTCGCGAGGTCAGCGCGCGCTTTTAGCGTCCTGCTCAGGCGGCCCCAGCGTCCAGGGGCGCCGAATAGGCGGTTGCGGGGGGAGCCCCGAATTAGCATTCGCATTCAGATAAAGATATTACTCCCTACGGCCGAGGAATGTCAACTAGCCCCGAGGACGGGGTGGCGGGCGGGGCTCCAGACCCTCCCGGGACCCCCTGAGGCATTCGGGGGCGGGCATGGGGGCGAGCCATCCTCCCTCTGGGAACGCACCCTATGCAGGGCCTGGGACACAGTGGCAGGAGGGACCCCGGGGCCCGGGGCCTCTTTCCTCCGCTAGAGGTAGCTGCGCCCCTCCCGGAAGGAGAGCTGCTGAGACAAGTAGTGAGCGGCTAGGTCAGCGAACCTAATCCAGCTCGTGAAGTAGATAGACCAGGCCGTAAACATTCAAAGACCTCGTGAAATGTAGAGGTTCCAGCTGACATTTTACTGGGAAACATGAATCAGGAAGCCAGAGTTAGCTGGGGCGGAGGTGGGGAAGGTGGGGGCCTCTGGCCTGACCTGGGCAGCCTTCATCTCCAAATGGGGCCCAGTATTTCCTGTGAGGAGCCGGGGTGGGGTGGGGGGGCACTCCGCCTACCCTCTGACTCTGCCCAGTCAGGAGGGGTCCTTTGGGGGTACAGGGTATTTCCCAGAAAAGCCCTGGTTGCACCCTCCCCCTCCCCCCACCCCATGGGGCTGGACTTTGAGCCCCACAGCCCTCTGGGTGGTTCATTAACCTGGTTCAGCAAGAGGCTGGACTTCTGACCTCAGCCCCTGCCCCAAGTAGAGATGCACCCCTGCCCCCAGGGCCTCAGCTCCTGCTGGGGCTGGGTATGCCCCATTTCATAACCAAAACTAAAGGGGAACAGGAGCCCCAGTAGGCCTGAGTGACTTCGAAGTAAGTAAGCAATGAGGGGAGTCTTTTCTGGACGGGATGGGAGCTCCCTGATTCCAGATCCTGCTGGGGCTCTGCTCTGGGTGCCCTCCTCCAGCCCCAGTCACCTCCCCTATTTGTGAGGACAGGTAATGGCAGAGTTCTGGAAAGGGCAGACTGGGTCATCCTGTAAGCCCACATTCACTTGCCTACCTCCAATCTCCCCCTTTTTTTTTTTTTCTAACTTTGTTATAAAACTTTTTAGAAAGTTTCCAGGTGGGGAAGGGGGAAGATCAGGTTTTCTCCCTTGACTTGGGTTCCCTTTGAGACAAGCTGTCTCTCTTGGGCTATTTGAAAGCATGTAGGTCCCATACTCTGAAGTTGGAAACCTTCAGCACATGTCCAGAACTGGAACCCTTTGTTCTTCGTTCTACCCCAAACCCCAAATCTCTCGGGTGCAGCCAGCTCCAATGGCTCCTTTGAATCAGGTCTGAATTTGATGCTTGTTCTTTGGGTTGCCCCCAACCCAAGGCTTTTCTGAGGGAATGTGGTCCAGCCCCTGTGCCGTCCCTGTGCACTGGGGGGGCTCAACTGTAGTGACCTGAATCCAGGAGTGTTTCCTCCCCGTTGAGAGTCAGGGGCTCAGCGGCAGCCCTCCCAAGTAGGCCGGCCCTGGATGTGGCCTGGTGACCTCAACGGTGATGGTTTTGGTGTCCCACCCCTGCTGTCATGTGATCCAGCCCTTCGACCGCTATGGTGGCCGCCCTGGCCTTCCAGTGGGATTTCTGCCCTGTGTCCCGGAGGCCCGGGTTGGGGGGCAGTTGAGGCACAAGGCCAGTGAGTTAGCAGAATCAGGAGGATCCTGTGACTGGGAAACAGGCCTGCAAGCACAGCTGGGCTTTTCCAGGATAGAGTACCCCTTGAACTGTGCCCTTGGGCTGCCCTTGGCACGCAGCGCCTGGTGGAGCCCAGACCCCGTTGGGTGGGGGTGCCGGTGGGGGCAGACATTCCACCTGGGCCCACTTCCCTCATTGGCACATGGGTTCCTGCCATGGCACACAGGACTTGGCCTCCAGCATGTGTGGGCCCCAGCACTGGCATGGGTGTGGGCAGAGCCCCTTTGTGTCAATGGAGAAAGACTCCCTCCTGGGGCTGCTGGGGGCAGAGGACTGAGCACCACGTGCCCCTGCTGCTCCCTAGGTAGAGCCCGATGGTGACTGTTTTTGTGCCCACCCGTGCCCATCGCTTTGGGCCCTGCCCATCCTTCTCTGTCCCCCTGCCTGACCCTATGCACTCAGCCACTGCTGGGTCACGACTTGGCTTGGGCCTGGTGGATCAGATCCCCTGGAGGCTACCCGGGTCCAGGGGTCCCCAGCTTTGGCACTTGGGCACATCTGGGGCTGGGCCTCAGTTGATGGCAGTGTCTGTCCACCAGCGGATGGCTGGCCTAAGGGCTGCTCCGTGTCTCCCCAGTCCCATGATGGATCAGGCTGAAGGGAATGCTGTGTGGACGGTTGACCTGCCAACGCTGCCCAGACCAAACCGGAACCAAGCACACTGTTGCCCTTGGGCTGGGGCCTGGGGCTGAGGCTGCTGGGACCAGTCTGTCCTTAGCCTTCTGGGGGGTCTCAGCCAGCTCCCAGCACTGGGTGGTCCCCATAGGACATAGTAGCCAGGACTGGGGGGTCAGAGGTCAGAGTAGGAGTCCTCTGACTGTGGGCCCCAGGGGTGCAGACTTGAGGATACTTCAGAGACCCTCCTGGAGGGCCTGGACAGGTGGGACTGCCGGAAGTGAGTAGGCAGACTTGGGACTGTCCAAGGAGCCAGGGGCTGGTGTGGCCAGAGTGGGCAGCTGGGCCCTCGAATCTAGGCCACGCGTCGGCAGAATGACAAGTGACAGTATAACTGACCCAGCTGGGTCTGGGGAAGGAGGCCTGGGCCGTGGGACCACCCACCCCTGTCCTGGGCCCCGAGCCCGGGCCTCCTGCCTGCACTGGGCATTGTCTGGCCCTGGCAGGGAGGCCTGGGGGTGATCGTTAGCCCCGCCAGTGGTGTGTCCCTGGATCTCAGGCCTCAGCCCTTTGCGAGCTGGGCAGCTGCTGGGGAGGGAGGAGGGCCCCTGGGCTTACCCGTGGATATCCGCCCTTGGTGAGGATCCCCTCCCCCAACAGAGCATTGGCACGTAAGGTGGGCCACGTAAGGGCCCCTTAGCCCTGGCATCAGGGCTCCCACTCTGACCTGCTCCTGGCTGAGTCTGGATGGTCTCCCACTCCTCCCAGCTTGGGTCCTTATCCATGAAATTGGGGTGGGGGGGTCCAGGTCCCCTTAACCCGCTGGCCGATGAGACACTGCTGGCTAGACACAGTACCCTCTCTGTATGAGTTTTTTTTTGCTGTGTGTTTAGTGTAGTGCTGACCTGTGGCTCACACGCATGATACTCCCTCCTAAGTCAGGGTCCGGGTGTTCCATGACCCTGAGCGCCCCAACCCCAGGCTGGCCCCTGAGGTCACCGGCCCACAGCAGGTGCTGCTCTGGGAGGTTCGGCCCATGCTGCCCAGACATGGCGGGTCTGTTCTCTGGTCCAGAAGTGCTTTTGCCACCAAGGGGAGAGATGGGGGTGTTAAGTGGGACCCCTGCCCATACCCTGTCTGTCCTGCCTTGAGCCTCCATTTCAGGCTAGAAGGCAGAGGTCTGTGGAGGACTGCCTGCTGACTGCCTGGTTTTGAATGGCCTGTGAGCTCAGGGTGCAGTTTGCATTTCTGAGTAGTTGGGAAAACGCAGAGGAAGAGTAACACTTCAGGATGCTTTGCCCTGGGAATTCTTGGTGTCCATCAGGACGGTCTGGCAGGAATGCAGCAGAACCTGCTTTATCATGTGTCATCCGCGTCAGTGCCCCCACGGTCTAGGGGTCCTCGGGGCGCACCCCCTGTTGGCAGGGCTGGATGTCACCATCCCCATCCCTCACCATCCCCATCCCTCTGCAGGACACTTTGCAGGATTATGGGCTCTGGATGCAGAGCCTCTGGGCCCCAGATGCCCCCACCACAGCCTCCGCTGCATGTCTGGGCGGTGGGCCTGCTGTGGTGCCTCGGCGGGGGGCGCCCAGGATTCCTGTTTTGGGGGCGCCTGCCTTAGGGTCCTCCATCTCCTCCACAGAGGCCCTGGGGCCTGAGCCCGGCCAGCAGGAACAGCTGGTCTTTGGCAGCGGGGACACCGTGGAGCTGAGCTGTCATGCGCCTGCTGGTGGTCCCACAGGGCCCAGTGTCTGGGTCAAGGATGGCGTGGGCCTGGTGCCTTCAGACCGCGTCCTGCTGGGGCCTCAGCGGCTGCAGGTGCTCAACGCCTCCCACGAGGACTCAGGGGCCTACAGCTGCCGGCAGCGGCTCACGCACCGTGTGCTCTCCCACTTCAGTGTGCGAGTGATGGGTGAGTGCCCGCCGGGCTCCCCCAGGCTCACTGCATGGTCTTGGGAGGGTGCGGGCTCTCCTGGGCTCACCCCATGACGGTGAAGGCATGTGGGCTCCCCTAGGCTCACCCTATGGCCATGGTGGGGCGGGGTGGGGGGTGTGATGGGTGAGTGGCTGCGAGGTCAGGGGTTGGGACCGTGCTCCCACAGCACCCCACATTGAGCATCTTGGTGGTCATTGGTAGAGAAGGGAGCCCCCAGAGACTCAGGAGGGGTGGCAGGCACCGGGGAGTAGGCATTGGGTGCTTGCCTGTCAGGGGGCTGACTCCTGCGCACCCTATTGCCTGAATTTCAGATGCTCCGTCCTCTGGAGATGATGAAGATGGGGAGGACGAGGCTGAGGATACAGGTGAGCCCAGATTGCAGGCATGCAGGGCTGGCCAGGGTTGGGGATCTGCCTTCCCAGGGGTGGGCCTGCTTCCTAGGTGCCAAGCCCTACACTGTCATCGGGCAGGTGGGAGACCGAGGCCTGGGGGCCACCTCAGGGCCGTGCCGAGAGTGGGGTCCCCTCAGTGTGGCGGCCCTGAGCTCTGGGTGGCAGCAGCGGGGGCTGTAAGGCCTTGGGTGCTGTGGCCTAGGCCAGATGTGTCTTTGGCAGGGCTGCCGTGGGGCCGTCGGCCTGGGACATTAGGGGCATGGGGGGTGGGAGCAGAGGGTGGCTGTGGGCTCCAGGGACCAAGCTTTGGACATGTGCTCAATGTAAACGGGAGACTGTTGCATTTGCTGGGTGTGGGGGCTGCAGGTGTAGGGAGCAGGCGGGTGACGGCACGCAGGGGATTAAGCCTGTCCGTCACAGAGGGGCTGGTTAGGGGCGGTGGCCTGTCTGTTTTTGGAGGAGCCAAGTTTGAGAAGCTGAGAGATGTGGAACAGGGGTGGGAGGCCCTGCGGGGTCCAGTGGGCGAAGAGGTGAGGGGGAGCCAGCCAGGGATGGGGGCCTGGGTGGGGATGTGGGAGGGGAGTGGTCCTGGCAGAGAGCCAGGCCCCCCAGGCCGTAGGTTGGCTCCACCTTGGGTGTGCGCAAGGCCAGAGGCATGAAAGGGCCCTTCCTAAGAAGCTGCTAGGTTTCCTCTCTTTTCCCTTTTTTCCTTTGGCTGCCAGTAGTTCAGAGCCAAACTCCAGGCCCACCTGGACCTCCCCAGGACCCCCAGCCACGCCAGGCCATGCTGGTGCCCCCTCCCCCATTAGCCGGTGGGCTCAGCAGCTCTGAGCGTTGCTGGCAGGGCTGCTCTCCACAGGCACTGTCTAGCAGCGCGGAGCTACCATGGTCTCAGCCTGCCGGTCACCCGTCCCTGTCCCGTCTCTGTCCCTGGAGGGCTCCCTGCTTGGGCCTTGGCACCCTCCTCTGCCAGGTGGCTGTGTTGAAGGCAGCAGGGCAGAGGTGCGGGTGAAAGGGGTGTCTCTCCCCTGTCCTAGGGGATGCTGGTCCAACCTCCCATGGTAGGGAAGCAGCCTGCATCCCAGCAACAAGGAAGGATGGAAACCAGTTAGGGTGGGGATGGGGTGGTGAAAACCAGGAGACGGGCAGGGCCTCCCAGATGCTGTATCACCATTTCCGCTCCCCCTGCCCGTCAGGCCCTAGCGTGCTCTAGAGGGTGACTCCGGGTCTCAAGGGTTCTAGTAGGCACCTGGCCATCTGTGAGACTCTGGGCTCTGCACCTTCCTGGCTTCCAGGTCCTGGCCTTGCTCGTCGGTCCGGCTGGGCTCTGAGACCTGGGCTGACATGGTTCTGTGGCCTGCCGGGGCTGTGCCTCAGTGGACTGGCTCCAAATGTGCCTCCCTGGGTGGGTGGGTGGTCCCCCGGGAGGTACCGCTGTGTCTTGAAGGCTCCTCGGTCAGGGTGTATTGTTCCGGACCCTTGGGCCCCCGTGGCTGGGCAGGTGCTTAGGGGAGGTGGCCAGGGCAGGGAAGGGATGCGTGTCTCGACTTTGAGAATGCCAGGAGGTGACGTTGGGGCTGTCGGCGGCCTCGTCCAGCCGAGGCAGCAGGCCGCAGAAGTCTGACACTCTGTGCTCAGGAGGGGACGCTGAGGCTGGAGGCATGGGCAGCCTGGTGGCCTCCGAAGGGGGGGGTAAGACGGGCCTCTGCCCCCGCCCTGGGCATGGCTGGCAAGTGCCCCTCTGTCAGTAGGGGCTCCTTATTGGACGCGGCCTGAGCGGATGGACAAGAAGCTGCTAGCGGTGCCAGCCGCCAACACCGTGCGCTTCCGCTGCCCGGCCGCCGGCAACCCCACGCCATCCATCTCCTGGCTGAAGAACGGCAAGGAGTTCCGAGGCGAGCACCGCATCGGGGGCATCAAGGTGGGCCTGCTGGTGGGTGGTGTTGGCCAGTGGGGGTTGGGCCACCATTCCTCACCTGCACACCTGCCCACAGCTACGACACCAGCAGTGGAGCCTGGTCATGGAGAGCGTGGTGCCCTCGGACCGCGGGAACTATACGTGTGTTGTGCAGAACAAGTTCGGCAGCATCCAGCAGACCTACACCCTGGACGTGCTGGGTGAGGCTCTGGGCTGGGAGGGGAGGGTCTGGTGGTTTAGGGCCGGGCCGCCCCTGAGCCCCATCTGACCCCCCAGAGCGCTCGCCGCACCGGCCCATCCTGCAGGCCGGGCTGCCTGCCAACCAGACGGCTGTGCTGGGCAGCGACGTGGAGTTCCACTGCAAGGTGTACAGTGACGCGCAGCCCCATATCCAGTGGCTCAAGCACGTGGAGGTGAACGGCAGCAAAGTTGGGCCCGACGGCACCCCGTATGTCACCGTGCTCAAGGTGAGTGTCACCCCGAGCCGGGTGCTGGCAGGGCTGCAGGCTCCTGCTCAGGGTGCTGGGCCTGGCCCACCCCATGGCCAGGGGCCGGAAGGCATCCCAGCAGGGAGGCCCGTTGGGTCACGGGTGTTGGGGGGGCTCGGCATCCGACCAGTGGGGGAGAAGCGGTAGGGTGGGTGGGGGTTGGCTTGGGAGTCTGGGCCCAGTCCCGGCACATGAGGTAGGCAGTGCGTGGCCCTGTGGTGAGTCCTCAGTTTTCCTGTCTGCTCTACGGGCTGGCCTCAGCCCTGGAGGCGGGCGTGTATATAGCGCCCTGGGCCAGGCTCAAGCTCCAGGCCCTGTGGCAGGCAGGTGGCCACTGAACCCTTGGGGCATGGCCCGCTCTGGGACCCAAGGTGCAGGCCACCATGCCTCGCACCTGATTCAGAGCTGCCTGCATGCACAGAGCACGGCTCGTGTCCACCTACCTCCCTCGGCCCCCACTTTGTTCCCATGGCCCCGAGTTGGGACAGTTGCGACACTGTCAGCCCAGAAAGAAACATCTATTGCTCGTGAGGGTGGAGAGCAGGCACTGGGGCTGAGAGCGGGAGTGCAGGCCCAAACGCAAAGGCCGCCGTGGCCCCGTCAGGCAAGATCTCAACACACCCCGGAACAGAGCCAGGCCCCGCCGGGACCCTCGGGTAGGCAGGCAGAGGGCCAGCCCTGGAGGGCCCGTGCTCTGGGCTGAAGTTGGGGGACAGGCCGAAGGCACATCCTGAGAAACCATGGCCCACCACTGGGAAGTGCTTCCATGACCTCCAGGCAGCCTTCCTGCCTGGCATAGCCTGGCCCACCCCCTCCCGTTCCTTGAGTGCCACCCCCGTGGCGGGGTCTGCTCCGGGCCCTGCGCCCGCATGGCCACTCTGTGCCCAGCCGGGCTGCCGAGGACGCACCTAAGCCGGGTCTCTTGTCCCCGCAGTCCTGGATCAGTGAGAGTGTGGAGGCCGACGCACGCCTCCACCTGGCCAATGTGTCCGAGCGTGATGGGGGCGAGTACCTCTGTCGAGCCTCCAATTTCATAGGCGTGGCTGAGAAGGCCTTTTGGCTGCGTGTTCACAGGCCCCAAGCAGGTAACAACTCTGTCCCACGCTGTCTGGCACGCCGAGCTCCAGCTCCGACGCCCTGGCCATGCGCCCACCTGCACGCCCCCATCCTGCTCGCTCCCTGCCCCGTGGCTCACGCTGTGCTCCTGACACAGCCACGTCTGCGATGTGGGTGCCACTGGCCTCCACGTGACCATGTGCTTCAAGCCCCTGTGGCCTGTGCTGACCCCGCCTGCGCTCCCACTGCACCCCCAGGAGGCCATCAGCCCCTGCAGAGGCTGTGCCCCTCTGTGAGCTTCTGCCCCGTCCCCGCCCTGCGTGTGTACGAACGTGTACACGTGTGTGTGTGCACGTGCGTGTGTGTGTGTCTCTCTTGCCCACGCTCTCTCACCTGTTCTCGTGACCTCTGCCCTGGCTCTCCCACCTGCGCCCTTCCTGTCGGTCTGTTGGTCAGTCCATCCACTCAGCTGCCCACCCGTGCTCCCCACCCGCGCCCCCTGTGTGCACGCTAACCTCGCATGCTGCGTGGGTGCAGCTCGCTGCTGGCCGCACGCCTGGCACTCACCTGGGACAGAGGACTCGCCGGTGGAGGGACTGGCTTCGGGCTCTGTGTGGACGCACGAGGCGGAAGACCCCTGGCGCCGTGGCCGTGGTCGTGGTGGTGGTGGCAGCGGCGTTTTCCTTGCAGCCTGGCTGGATCGTCACCGCGTGGACTCTGGCCGTGGTGCCCGTGGGAGGTGCTGGCGCTCGCCTATCGCGCTCTGTTCTCTCTTTGTAGACGGCGGGCGCTAACACCACCGACAAGGAGCTAGAGGTTCTGTCCTTGCGCAATGTCACCTTTGAGGACGCTGGGGAGTACACGTGTCTGGCGGGCAATTCTATCGGGTTTTCCCATCACTCTGCGTGGCTGGTGGTGCTGCCAGGTACTGGCTCCTGCTGCTGCTTGCTCTGTCCCTGTCCTCTTGGGCTCGCTGGCTTGGGACACTCCACGGCTGCCAGGGACAGGCAGGGGACCCTGTGGCCCGTGGCCAGCTTACTCCACGGAGTGCTTATGCAGGTCCAATGGCAGGCATGGGAACGGAGCTGACACACCGTGTCTTGGCTCAGGGTCCCTCCCTTGGAGCCCCCCGCTCTCAGCCAGGTCCCCAACAGCCTAGGTGGTAGCATTGGCGTCTTCCCGGGTGGTGGGCGTATGTGCTGTTGGCTCTGCTGGGCTCCTCCGCTGCTGGGCGTCCCTCTGCTGACCCAGCATCTCTGACCCTTGGTACACCCCCTCTGGGGTCTGAGCCCCTTTCCCCACTCCCACTGTGTCTCTGGCTCAGGCCCAGGGCGGCTTGTGGGGGCTCCCGTGCAGCTGGGCCAGGCCTGCAACGCCCATGTCTTTGCAGCTGAGGAGGAGCTGGTGGAGGCTGGTGAGGCTGGCAGCGTGTACGCGGGCGTCCTCAGCTACGGGGTGGGCTTCCTCCTCTTCATCCTGGTGGTGGCGGCCGTCACTCTCTGCCGCCTGCGCGCGCCCCCGAAGAAGGGCCTGGGCTCGCCTGCCGTGCACAAGGTCTCCCGCTTTCCACTCAAGCGACAGGTAACAGAAAGTAGATACCAGGTTCCGAGCTGCCTGGCCTCCCAGACCCTCCATGGCTGCGTCTCCTGGGCTGCTGAGCTCAGGGACACCCTGCGGAGTCTGGGGACTGGGGCCCACGTGGGGACGCGGGTGTGTGTGGCGGCTGAGGCAACCCCACCCTTGTCTTTGCCATCCCCCGGGTCACTTTGTCTTCACATAGCACTATGTGGAGCTTGGACAACCCCCCCAAGCCCTGGCCAGCCCTGCCCATGCAGAGAGAGCCGCAGCCTCACCGTCCCCAGCCCCCCACCAACCCTGCCATGGTTTGGCCCTGCGGCACCAACCTGTCCCTGCCGACCCAAGCAGGTGTCCTTGGAGTCCAACTCGTCCATGAACTCCAACACACCCCTGGTACGCATCGCCAGGCTGTCCTCAGGGGAAGGCCCTGCGCTGGCCAATGTCTCCGAGCTGGAGTTGCCTGCTGACCCCAAGTGGGAGCTGTCCAGGGCCCGGTCAGTGGTGGCGATGGGACCTTGTGTGCCGGGGCGGGGGGCACATATGGGGTGCAGCCTTGCGGTGGGGGAGGAGGGATCCCTCAGAAGCCTGACTGGATTCCAGTCAGAGGCAGGTGGGAATTGGCTCCCTGTATAGGGTGGCCACCACTGGACGTGGTGCTGGGGCCAGAGAAGGCTGGGCCAGGGACCCTGCAGGCGGGGGGCACCCCTGCACAGTGCTCCATCTGGAGGGCCCCGCACAGTAAGAGGCTGGAGGGCCAGCGTTTTCCATTCTCATGAGCAAGGTTGTGGGGGCACATATGGAGGGCTTCCTGGAGGCAGTGGCACCGAGCCTCTGAAACGGCCTGGGACAGAGCCTGGAGCAGGGGGCGTGCTCATGGCTTTCCATCTCTGCTGCCAGGCTGACCCTAGGCAAGCCACTTGGGGAGGGATGCTTCGGCCAGGTGGTCATGGCGGAGGCCATTGGCATCGACAAGGACAGGGCTGCCCGGCCCGTCACTGTGGCAGTGAAGATGCTCAAAGGTGAGGGAGGGGTGGGCTGTGGCGGGAGGGTCCTGTCGGGGCTGGAGCAGCAGTCCCTAAGGTGGCCTCCCTGCTTTACAGATGATGCCACAGATAAGGACCTGTCAGATCTGGTGTCTGAGATGGAGATGATGAAGATGATCGGCCGCCACAAGAACATCATCAACCTGCTGGGGGCCTGCACCCAGGGCGGTAGGTGCCGTGGCAGGGGCAGGGGGCTCGCGGCCCGTTGGGGGAGCCTTCTCTGAGGCTCCTGTGCCCCCAGGGCCCCTGTACGTGCTAGTGGAGTACGCGGCCAAGGGTAACCTGCGGGAGTACCTGCGGGCACGGCGGCCCCCAGGCCTGGACTACTCCTTCGACACCTGCGGGCTGCCCGGGGAGCAGCTCACCTGCAAGGACCTGGTGTCCTGCGCCTACCAGGTGGCCCGGGGCATGGAGTACCTGGCCTCCCAGAAGGTAAGCGGGGGCGGGAGGGCGGGCACAGGCCCCTCGGCCAGTGGGGGCCCCGTGGGAGCCTCAAACCCCCCCACCTTCCCCCAGTGCATCCACAGGGACCTGGCCGCCCGCAATGTGCTGGTGACCGAGGACAATGTAATGAAGATAGCGGACTTCGGCCTGGCCCGTGATGTGCACAACCTGGACTACTACAAGAAGACCACCAACGTGAGCCCGGCTAAAAGCAGGGGTCGGTCGGGTGGGGGGCTAGGGAGGGCTCCGCCTGCCCATAGGAGGGCCCCTGACCCAGTGTGCCCCCTTCCCCCGCCCAGGGCCGGCTGCCTGTGAAGTGGATGGCACCTGAGGCCTTGTTTGACCGGGTCTACACCCACCAGAGTGACGTGTATGTAGTCTCCTAGATCCCGAGGAGGGCCAGGGGTCGGGAGCTGCGGGGAACGTGGGACTGTGTCCAGGGGACGCAGGACACCGTTGGGAGCCTCCTGGGCCCTGGCCCGTCACCCCTGCGCTCCGCTGGGGGTCTGCTCAGGGAGGCAGGCTGACCGTCCTGTGCTCCCCACCAGCTGGTCCTTTGGGGTCCTTCTCTGGGAGATCTTCACCCTGGGGGGCTCACCGTACCCCGGCATCCCCGTGGAGGAACTCTTCAAGCTGTTGAAGGAGGGTCACCGCATGGACAAGCCGGCCAACTGCACACATGACCTGTGAGTGTCCCCACTCGCTGTCTGCAGCTGGCAGGGTTCCCAGGGGGTGCAGGCAGGGCTGGGGGCAGGCTGGGAGCCTTTCCCAGCTGCCACCCCCCCCCACTCCCTCTCAGGTACATGATTATGCGGGAATGCTGGCATGCTGTGCCCTCCCAGAGGCCCACCTTCAAGCAGTTGGTGGAGGACCTGGACCGTATCCTTACTGTGACGTCCACAGACGTGAGTGCCGCCCTTTTCCCCTGCCCATGCTGTGTGGGGGACGTGGCATTGACCTCCACCCTCCCACAGGAGTACTTGGACCTGTCTGTGCCTTTTGAGCAGTACTCACCAGGCGGCCAGGACACCCCGAGCTCCAGCTCCTCAGGGGACGACTCTGTGTTTGCCCACGACCTGCTGCCTCCGGCCCCCACCAGCAGCGGGGGCCTGCGGACGTGAAGGGCCAGCGGCCTACAGGCCGAGCCCCCACCACTGTTGAGAGTGGACACCAGCTCCCCCCGACCCCGTGCTGCTGGTGGCATGCTGTCGACCACTGGGGCCCCTTCGCCTGGGCCCGAGCCTGGGCCAGACAGACAATGGACAGACACGTGTGTGTGTGTGTGTGTGTGTGTGTGTGTGTGTGTGTGCGCGTGTGTGTGTGGGTGTGAGTCTTGAGGCCCCCGGCACAGGGATCCCTGGGGTGCCACCCTGCTGTATAGTGACCTCCTGGCCACCAGCGCCGGCAGCACCAGGGGGACAAACGTAGAATGTAAAGGGGTTCCTCCAGGAGCTCCTCAGGACAGGGAACCGGGCCCCTTCCCCAGGCTCCCTTCCCCCCACACATCCATTGCCTCCCAGGGGGGGGGGGGGGGGGGGGGGTGCGGCCAGGCTCTGGCATGCAGTGTGGACCAAGGCCCCTAGGGCTGAGCCTGCGGGGTAGCCCCTATGCGGCAGGCCTCCGCCCCGCGCCACCTTGTGCCTGGGGATGCATGTGAGCACCCCCCCCCCCCCCGCCAGCCTGCCCCATGTCCCACCCTGGTTCCTTGGAGGCTAAATTACGGGTACCTGAAGGCAGGAGCCTTTACCTTCTCTCCGAGAGGTTCATTCCAGAAATGAGTGTACATTTATATAAATAGAAGCTGTGTGTCGGATACATACATGCCTATATATATGCATATCTATATGGAAAAAAGGCTGGTGTGGCCGGCACAGGACCCCGGGGGCCCAGGGAGCCTCCCCGAGGGATTTGCTGTGGAGACAAGCTCAGACACCAGCACACCACGGGGTGGCTTTTCTGACAGTTTTGTTTTAAAAATTGTACCTGGACCTGTATATTTGTAAAGCTATTTATCGATCGCCCAGAACCCCTGACCCCTGCCCCACACTCATAGTGTTGAGACAGCCGCATGGCACAGAGGTTTCAGTTTTAACTTATTAACCGCAGAGAAGGGACCCTGGGGTTGTGATCGTGCCAGGCGTGGCCTGCCGCCCCCCCGAAACCCAGCCAGTTCCTTTGTGCCCTCAAGGGTTGTTCATAGTTTGAGGTGATTCTAGTGAGGTGTTTTGTTTCCTTTGGCCTTCTTTTGCAAGGGAATTAGATTTCTATAGGGTTTTTCTTTAGGAGATTTATTTTTTGGGACTTCAAAGCAAGCTGGTATTTTCCTCCAAGTTCTAATTGCCATGTGCTCTGGGTGGGGAGGTGGCTTCCGGTGGGGGCCAACCCTGCACGCAGGCTTCGATGTTATTAGATGTTACAAGTTTATATATATCTATATATATAATTTATTGAGTTTTTACAAGATGTGTTTGCTGTAGACTTAACACTTCTTGCGCAATGCTTCTAGACTTTATAGCCCGGACTGCCGCCTTTCAGAGCTTGCAAGAGAAAGCAGTGAATTCAGTTTTGTTACTTTTTGTACTGTTAATGGCCCAAATTTGGGGGCCTTTTTTTTTTTGCTCATCAGCTGGCCAACCGGGCAGTGGTTCAGGGTGGTCTTTGTTCTCAGGGGCCCCTCCTCCCCTGCCTTATGGGAGCCAAAGGTGTTGGCCCAAACTGGCAGATGTGCTTTCCAGAAAATAAACGGAGTCAACTGGTTCCTGTCCTGGTTCGGTGCCTTGTTGTTTCCGGCCCTCTGGAACCCTAGGCAGTTCAGCGTCCTTAATGTCCACCTGGGACAGGTCCTGTCATCTGCCCTCCCCACCCCAAGGAGGTAGGGGTCCCCAGCTGCTGGCAGAGACTGGGACTGGCTGCCTGGGGTCACAAGCCCAGGTCCTGGCTAGGACAGGACGATCCTGGGCAAAGCCAGGGTGCGGGTGAGGATGGTCCACTGTGTGCAGCTGCATGGGGGTCCAACCTCAGGGCCATGTGTGGTCTTCACGGTCTGAGGTCCCCAAGGGCAGGGAATGGTGGCAAGGGGGTGTCCAGGGGATTGGCAGTGAGAGCATCCTGGGGTGTGGCTGAGCAAGGAGGAAGGCCGGTCCTGCTAAGCCCCCTGGCTGCCCCCAGCTCCTGGATTCTAGGTAGGCTCTGGGGGTCCTGTGCAAACACCTGCAGCGGCTTCTGAGGCTTCCCTCCCCCCTGCACACCCTACCTGCTGGCATCCGCGGTTACCTGGGGAGAAGAAGCTGGTTTCTAGCTGGGTTCCCCTCATGGAGCCACATGTCAGCAAAGCTCTCACCTGGCCCCTGATTCAGCCAGACCCAGGGAGAGTGCTGTCTGCCTTGGGGGCCACACTCTAGCTCCTGGATGCTTACCCCATCCCAGGCCTGCTACCCCACCCTTGGGCTTCAGCTGCACCCCTGCATTCCACCATTCCTGCGACTTTGGGCAGAGGCTGCATGCTGACCCTTAGCTAGTTGGGGCACTGAGGACCCAGTGACAGGATCTGGTCCCCTCTGCTCTGAGTTCTCAGTCTGAGGGAGTGGGGACACCAATCAGGGCACCCACCCACGCCAAACCGGTGGGGGTAAGTCTGGGAAGCCTTCCTAAAGGAGGTGGCAGTGCCCAGGCTAGATGGTGAGGCTAGAGAGGAATCAGGGACAGGCAGCCAAGCACAAACTTGGCCCAGGTCCTCTCTGGCGCCCAGTGCTGTGTAGGGCCCCTCTCCCTCCTTCCTCTGCTGACCCCTGGTCTGGTCCCACCGGAGAGGACCGCTCTGGGTTAACCAGCCACCTGGCTGTGTCAACTTTTAACTCTGGCTTCTCAGAAATTCGCTCCTGCTGTAGCTGTGTCCAACTCACTTTCCGAGTCTGGGGCTTCCCTGGAAGGGAGGATCTGAACCCGGTGGGTGACACCCCCCGCCCCCATACCGCGACCCCACTCGGAAGCTCTCCCTGCCTCCGGTCCAGCCTGCCAGAGACCTAGTGTTCTTGGAGTTGCCAGCACTTGGGGAGATGGGGGCCGATGGGGGTGCAAGTGTGCGCTGCTGGCCCCAGGCTGGTGGGGAGGTGGGGAGAGCCCAGAAGAGACCCGGCTGAGGGGGGCCCGGCAAAGGGTGATGGCGGGGGTAGGGGAAGCTGGTGGGGGGCTTGTGCAAGGGGCAGAAACTTGGGAGGCGGGCGAAGCGCGGGCCGGGAGCGCCCTCTAGTGCCGCCCTCAAGCATTCCCGTCAAGTCCCCAGCCCCTCGCCCCCGCGGTCCCGCGGGGCTCCAGGGACGCGCTCCGGAACGGGGGCTAGGCCTCCCGGGGAGCTGCGAGTCTTGCGGACGCCGGACCGAGACCCCGGGCGGGACGCGGGCGGGCAGACGAACGGGCCAGGCCTGCAGGTTGGGGCACTGGACAGGCAGGCAAGGGCAGCCCTGCACCTCCGCGTAGCCGGGGAGCCTCCCCGCCCCTCACCTGCCGGTCCCACCCACTCCAGGCCCCGCCCCTCGCCGGCCGGTCCCACCCACTCCAGGGCCCCGCCCCTGTCCGGCTACACCTGTGCCGCAGCACCTGCGACCCCGCCCCTCCCCGGCCGGGCTCGCCTCCTCCTGCAAGCCCCGATGCCAGTCCCCGAGTGTCTTCTGAATCCCCGGGCGGATGGGGTCCGACCCAGACCCGGGCAGGCCTCCGTGGCGGCTCAGGGAGAGAGGCATCCACAAGCCACCCGCCCTCGAAGGGTGTAGAGCTCCCCAGTTCTCGGAGCTCCAGGCCCCGCCCTTCACCTTTCCCCCTCGCTGCCGGGGTTGGCTCCTTTCCTGGATCCCGCAATCTTAACTGTCAGCTGCCGCCCACCAGCCGTACACCCAGCGTCCTCCTCCCCGGCGGGTAGACGCACACACTCGGCCGCAGCTGCCAAGGTCTTCGGGGTCGCAGCCCTACACGGAGCACACTTGCAGCCTGCCCGCGTGGGCCGGCTCCAGTCGCCCTCACCACAATGCAGTGAGAGGTGTTTTAAATCCAGAACTCTTCTGGTTGTCCTCAGCCCAGAAGAGCTCCTGGCCTTTCCCCCCTTCCCTGAGCTTTTTGGGGGCACAACGGTGTCGTATTGGAAGGCCCTGCTTTCTGGATATGCTGGTGCTCCTGTGGGGTCGTTAGACTTTACTGGCACAGCAAGGGGCTGTGGGGGGGTGGGGGGGTGAGGCACAGCAAGGGGCACATGGCTAGCAGCCCTCGCCCCCAGTTGTTCCAGGGAATGGTGCCCGGGCTGGGAAGCTGCAATGCTAAATTCCAGCGTTTCTTCAGGCCCACCAGCTGGAATTCTCCCTCAACACCTTGAGGGGATGGAACCTCCTCCTGAGAAGACCGGGGGAGTGGCTTTCTCCTTCCTGGTGGGAGAGTTGGCACCGGCACCGGCACCAGCACCAGCCGGCTGGCCAGACAGAAGACCACTGCAGGGGTGGGCTCTTTGTTTACAACCCATTCTCCATGTTTCACACTCACTCTTTCCTCATTCTGGTCAGGAGTACCCTGTCCCCAGGACTCTAGAGCCACCTCCTTAAGCAACCCCCCAGCACCCCTCATCATCCCCAGAACCCTGGTGTCTTTCCGTGGCCTTCTGAACTGTGGAGACGAGAAACACGCTCCCGACCAGGCCCCTGACTCCCCTGAGGGCATGTAGGCGCCTGCCGGGGCATTTTAAAGAACCTGGATGGAGCTGTTGGCCCAGGGCCCAGGCCAGGGGGCAGGCAAGAGCGGAGACCTACCAGTCCTCCACTCACACCTGCACCCACAGAAATAAACTCTCCCACGCGGTTCTAGAGCGGCGTCCGAGCTCCCAAGACCTACACGGCAGAGGAAACACAGCCAAGGCTGGCCTCAGGGACAAATGGGAGACTAGTGAGGGTGGCCCTTGGGCAGGGTGCAGGCAGGGTGTCAGGACTCAGCAAAGGTGGAGGGATCCCACACAGAGCCCCATGCAGCCTGGTGCCCATGGTGAGGCCACTGGAGACGGTGGAAGTCCGCAGCTCAGAGTGAGGCGGCCTGTCTACTGAAGGGACCTGGGAGGCGGGGGTCATCGTTGTGTCTGTCCTGTCTGCCTGGCAGCCCTCTCAGCTCTCTACTGGGGGGTAGAGTGCAGGCAGCCCTAGCCAGCTCTCTGGGCCCTGTCCAGGCTTGGGGAGCGGGCTGTAGTGGAGGGATGGCCCCTGCATCATCAAGGACCCCCTCAGTGGAGTGCACACCTTTGGGCATCACCGTCCCCACTCTCAGGAGTCCTCAGAGTCCTCAGAGTCTTTCCCAATGGAATTGGGCCCTCCTGGGTGATCCTTCAGCCGGGATCCCAGTCCTGTCTCCCCAGGTCCCACAGCATCCACTGAGGGCTGGGGTCGGGGGAAAGCCTGGTCAGGCAGTGGCCTCTTTCCCAGTCTGGACAAAGCAAGCAGTGCACAGTGGACAGGTCATCACGACAGTGCTTTATTAACCCTCCTCCGGACATCACACTGAGCGCCTACCCGCCGCACGGGGGTCCGACTGGGGGCACAGTCAGACAGGACGTGAAGCCAGTGTGCAGCGGAGGCTACCTGGGCATGGTTCCGCCAGGCGGACATCCATCTGGAACCTGGCCTCCCAGCAGCACAGCCACACCCACGGGCCACGGACCACCCCCTTCCGCCGCAAAGATAGAAATGGACCCCCAAGTGGTCACAAAGGCAGACATTCCAACGATTCAGATGGCTTCCACCTTGACTTCTGATGTGTCATACAGTTCAAAGATCCTACTTGGAGCTATTATAGGAACATTAACTTAGCATTTTAATAAAAACACTATTTCTAAAAAATGACATTTATACACAGCCGGGGGGGTGGGGTGGTGGTGGTTCTCAGGTGCAGCCGGCCCAGGGCCGCACTGTGAGAACCACCGCCTGGAGGTTATTCTTTAGAAATTACAAAGTGCCCTTCATTTTTTAAAAAAGTCTAGATTTCGATATTCCAAAAAGTCTGGATTTCGATATCCACATCTAGATGTGGATCTAGAAGCCACACGCTATCTTCCCGAATCCCAACTACAAGAGCGGGTGTTTAAAACGTGGAGGATGAAACCCGTGCTAAGAACTCTTGCTTCCTTCTCAAGGGGTGTGGACACCGCAGGCCCCTCCGGAGGTGACACAGGAAGGCCGAGGGAGCCACCCCTGCAAGCCACACTGTGCAGAATGGCTTTAGAGACTTAGCGCTGCTGTGCCTGCACCGGGACCCAACTCTCTGCTGCAGCTAACAGCTCAGGACAGGAAGATCCCCCACATCAAGGGGGGCCTACCGCAGGATCGTTGCCACAGGGGCCAACACCGGAGGGGCCCCGGGCCCTCGGCAAGCCTGGCAGCATGGGGGCAGGGTTTGGAGCGGCGAGTGTCTCCCCTGGAAGACGCAGACAGCAGGGGGCGCAGCGAAGGGGCTAGCCGTGGTGGTGACCACACCGTGGGGCTGCTCAGGACGCCAGGCCAGGGCGGCGAGGGTGTAAACGGGATTTGGGCACAGCTGACTGGGTGCCAAAGAACTGCTCGCTAGAAAGACAGCCGCCATTCGCAGGGCCCACGAGCGGCCCCAAGCTTGTGCACCCACTTCCTACAGCTCAATATCATACCACTAAAGGAAGTGTAAGGTAATTCATAAATATTTTAATTAGCATCTAGAATATATATACTTCTTTCTCAAATAATCGAAATAAAACCCCTTTAGAACCCAACTGTTACTTTACAAAGGTTTACATTTGAGAATACAGAATTTTATTCCTATTTTGTCAAGTTTCCTTTTTAATGGCTGAGTAAAACATTTCAAGTAATTTAGAAGCCATCCTTCCTGGGCCCTCATGCTCCTGTCCTGGGTCACCTGGCCACTCTGTTCCTAGGTCTTCCAAACCTATGCCTGCATTCCCCCAAGAAAACGTTCTTGCCCATAACAGACCTGGTGTCTGAAGGACAGGTCTGACGGAGCTGAGACCACAGCCCTAGCCCCCATAGAGCACCCCTACCCGAGCTGCCGGGGGTGCTGAGATGGCCAGACGCCAAGCCCATGGATGCTGCCCCACTCCAGCTGCGGGGTGCGCCAGGCGAGCCCGACATCCCGAAGCCCGAGCGCTGGGCCGGCCCCCCTCCAGGGGTGCCGCCTTTCTGAAAGCCCCTCAGGATGCCCCACCCCGGGAGCAGGAGCGCAGCCACCGGCCAATGGGTCCAGAAAGTCTAAGAGCAATGCTACGGCAGGCGTGTATGCCCGGAGCGCCCCTCACCGTCCCTGGATGCTCAGCACGATCCACTCGGTCACCCACGGGGGCAATGGCATGCAGACCACCCAAAAGGAGACACTTTCTGAAAGCCACGACACCATGATCAGTCAAGTGGAAAGCCTTACTTTCTAAGGGCTTCATGAGCATCTCTCCCAGCATAACTCTCACGTGCTGTTACAGGGAGGACGCACAGTGGTGTGCAAACATCCGGTACTAGTCAGCTGGTTAAAGGGTTAGGGCCACGCCAGAGATTAAACCAAGCAAGAGCTGGCGTCACAGGAGGCCTGCACAAGGTACCACGTCCCTGTCGCAGATCTGTGCTTGTCCAGAGGCCAAAGCATCCCACTTGTGCCACAGACGACTCTGGAAATGTGCAGGAATCACTGCTACGTAGGCTGCCGGTCAGGACTCCAGGTCCGCAGATAACAGGCATGTCTTCTCTCGAGCCACGGTGGGCTGTGCTTCTGTCCTCCCCATCTGTATGCCTCAAGCTCCACAGGCATGGGGCGTCCACACAGCAGACCCTTTCTCCTTCTGGGACAGGCACCAGCAGGGTACGGCGCACGCTGGAAGGGAGGCACCTTCCTGCCCTGGACCCACCTCCGGAGCCAGGAAGCCGGTGTACAGCCATGACTCCCCGGCCATCGGCGGGCTATACATGTGGCCACCATGGCTGGGGCTACCACAGCTGGGGCCACGGAAGCATCGTGCCACTCTGTGAATCCAGACATGATTCCCTGGAAGGGTTTGGGATTCCAGACTGAATGAATCTTCATGGAATGATGAAAATTAAAAATTACTTGATTATGGAAGTTTGATTTATTCCAGACAAAATATTAGGTTTGTCACTAAGAATCACCTCAAAGCCTTCACTAGCACAGCAGGGCCCGGCAACCGGCACTGTGGGACGGAGGCCAATACGGGAGGTGCCCCAAGGTGCCCAGGACAGGGGCAGGCCCTAATTCTTCACTTCGGCGGCCTCTTTCTCAGCCTTCTCCTTGGCCTTCTCCTTCTCCTCCACCTTCTCCTCCTTTTCCAACATGGCCACGATCTCGGCCACCTGGCTGGTGGAGATGTGGATGTCCTCTTTATCCACCAGCTCGATCACCTACACACACGAGAAAGGGACGAGGGGCTCAGGGGTGACCCTGCCCCCACACAGCGCCTTCCCAGCAGAGCATGCAGGGGAGGTGGAGCCCAGCTCCTCCATCCCAGCAAGAGGACCACTGGGGTCCTTCCGCTGCCTTGGTTCTGCAGTACCAGACCTCCAAAGCCCGAGGCCAGGTTAAAGCTATGAGGCAGGGGCGCCTGGGTGGCTCAGGGATTAAGCATCTGCCTTCAAATCAGGATCTGATCCTGGGGTCCTGGGATCAAGCCCCATGCCGTGCTCCCTGCTCAGTGGGGACCCTGCTTCTCTCTCTGCCCCTCCCCGTTTGTGCATTGTCAAATGAATAATAAATTTTTTTTTTCTTTAAATAATAAAATCTTTTAAAAAAGCTATGAGAGAGGGGCTCATAGAGCAGGAGACACAGGCTCTGTGAGGATACAGGGGTTGGGGAGGGAGTGCGGGGGCGGCACCATGAGGCCGCAGGGTCAGGGCATGCCCTAGACAGAGACTCCTCAGGAATCTCTCACCCCCGTGGCTCTGGGTGTGCAGGGCGAGAGCATCTGAGCTGCCATCCACAGCATGGAAGGGGCCCCAAGGAAGGGGCAGCTGGAGTGGGCACAGGCCTCCCAGCCTCTGCTGCTGCCAAAGTGAAGCCATCAGCATGTGCTCCTGGTCCTTCAATAGGACCCCAGTCAATTAGCACCTATGCTCGGTAAACCTGGGGATAACCACTAACCAGCTAGAGACCAGAAGCCGTGCGAACAGCCAGGAGAGTGCACCCTCCGCAGAGTTCCTCTCATCAAGGTGGAATCCCATTCCCAGTCTCCTGAGCTGCCCAACCCCTGGCCCCAGGGACCCCAGTGCTTCGCTCAGCCCTCCTCAGGGTTCAGGCAGCACCTGCTAAAGTCTGGCCCGGAGGACAGCCTGACACATCCCCTCCCTCTGAGTCTGCCCTAGACACCCCACAGCTATTGCACTCTCCTGACTGTGCCAAAGCCCCACCAGAGGACGCAAGAGGCTTAGTGTCCAGTCAAAATGCAGACGGGCTGCTCTAGGTGCACATCCTGACTAAGCCAAGGGTTTAGAGGACAGAGACGGGGTACATGTGGAAAATATCCCCCCCAGACCCAGCCATTGGCTGGGCCAGGCAGCCCTGACTTGGTCCCAACTCACCTTGACAAGGTCATCGATGTTGATCTTGCCGTCCTTGTTTTCATCCAGCGCGGAGGCCAAGCTGATGAGCTTGTTTTCTGGAATGTGCTTGATCTGCTTCATGGCACTGATGAGCTCAGCGATGCTGATGACAGTCTCCCTAGGGGTTGGGGGGGACAGAGCCTGCCTGTGGCACAGCCACACCCACAGCCCCACCAGGCCTCCTAAGGGTCAGCCTTAACCCAGGCAACCCTCCCTCCAGAGCTCCCCAGCCCCTGCCTTTGGGAATTCCCACCCAACTTGGACACAAACCCAGAATTCTTCCTTTGGTCCCAGGTCTCCCTGGGCACTGCCCCCCAGGAAGCCTTTCCACTGCTGAGGACAGAGCCTCATGGTTCCTGGGCAGTGGTCCTCAGGCCTGTGTGTGTAGTGGCCTGGGGGGCAGGGGCCGAGTATGGCTGTGCTGCCCTCTGACCGAGGAGGGCAGGTGGGCTGAAACAATGACACAGCCCAGCAGGTCAACTCAGGAAGGGCACGGACCTCGTCTGGGGGTGAAGGCCCCCCAACTTGGGGACAGCAGGAAGTCTACAGCCAGCCCTCCTTCCCTCTTAGAGATGCAGGCACTCAGAGCACAGTGCCCGGCCCATACGCACACTGGTTAGCAGCCCGACAGCTCCTCACTCACACGATGACCTCCAGAGTGGCGGCAACACTGAGCGCCTATGTGTAGGGGCTTCAGGAAGAGAGGTGGCAGGGGATGGTCCAAGGGAGCTATATCCTAGGCACATTCTGGAAGGACCAGCTTGATGGCAGTCTGGGGACAGATGTGGCCTATAGTGCCTGGAGAGTAAGGGTTGGGGGCGGGGAATAGTGGTCCTGACATTGGCCAAAGTGCGCATGTGTGTGCCTGTGTGTATGCGTGCGTGTGCAGGTGTACGTGTGTGCATGTGTGTGCGTGTGTGAGCAGAAGAGAGGACCCCAAGAGCTCCTTCAGTAAAACGGTTAGCGACAAGTGGAGATGGAGATGGGGCTAGGCTTCTGGCTGGAACCATGGGGTGAAAGCTCAGGGCTTGGACACCAGGGCCAACAAGTGCAACTTCAGCTCCCAGTGCCCAGCATCGGGGCCACGCTCACCCTGCAGGTGGCTGCTCGGCGGTGGGACCCAGCCTGCCAGCCTCTGCGCCCGCCTCCAGCTGTGAGAGCAGGCTATCGATCTGCCCGATCATCTGCTGCACCCTCTTTGTCAGCCTCTTGCTGGCTTTCGACTCCTCTACATAGATTTCTTCGCCGGTCTTCGAAAGCTCCTTCTGGATCTCTTGCAAATCCTAACGAAATTATGGAGTCGTAAAAGACTGTCTTTAAAAAAATAAAATAAAAAGGACCCATACAACTCTGTTTACCTTGTAAAAGTAGTTAAATTAACCCAAAGGTAATAAATTCCAGGTTGCGAATTGAGCTGCACAATCATGTCTGCACCTTTCATACAAATCACTTTTTTTTTTTTTTTTAAAGATTTTATTTTTTTATTTGACAGAGAGAGATCACAAGTAGACAGAGAGGCAGGCAGAGAGAGAGAGAGAGAGGGAAGCAGGCTCCCTGCTGAGCAGAGAGCCCGATGCGGGACTCGATCCCAGGACCCTGAGATCATGACCTGAGCCGAAGGCAGCGGCTTAACCCACTGAGCCACCCAGGTGCCCCTAAATCACTTGTTTTTGCAAACTCAAATATGGTCTGTGTTGCAAAGGAAATAGTATCTATGTGAAGCTCAACTTTCTTTATATTTGTTAAAAAGAATAAATAGATGGATGAAAAAATTGGGGAATAGAAGATGCCTTCTTAAATCCCAAGTCATGACCGTCCTCATAAGCAGGCACTACAGGGAAGGATGGAAGATGGGGCTGGGAATGAGGCGAAGGGCTCAGCATTTCTGGTGAACCCCGGATTTCCAACAGAGAACCACTGTGTCAACAGGCCTGCCATGAACATGGCTGATTATTTTCACCAATCTCAAAACTAGTCATCTTTTCCCAATGGATCTACGAAAACAGTTCTTTCATGAAGTAGGCTCCACAGCTCCCATGGGGCTTAAGCTCATGACCCTGAGATGGAATCACACACCCAACTGAGCCAGCCGGGCGCCCTGAAACAGCGCTTTCAAATCAGATTTGGAAGTAACATTTATAAAACAGACAGGTTTTCCTTTAAAAAACGAACAGGGCACCTGGGTAGCTCAGTGGATTAAGCCTCTGCCTTTGGCTCAGGTCATGATCCCAGGGTCCTGGGATTGAGCCCCACATCGGGCTCTCTGCTCAGCAGGGAGCCTGCTCCCCCGCCCACCCCTCTCTGCCTGCTTCTCTGCCTGCTTGTGATCTCTGTCCAATAAATAAATAAAAAATCTTAAAACAACAACAACAACAACAAATAAATCAATAAATGAAAAAAGTTAGTGTGTAAGAAAGAAATGTCTTCCAAGGAAACATGACTGCAACGAGGATTTCATTTATCAAGCGACTAGACTGCTGGTCTGGTCCCTTCATGGGCCTATGGACTGCCAGGGTAAGCAGCCCATGCCAGGAGCAAAGAGCCCGGGCACTCAGCTGCACAGAGACCACTGGCTGGCCCAGAAGGGGGCAGAGGACATCCCCAGGACACTGCCGCCCACCTCGCTGTAGTCCTGCACATCCTCCTTGAGCAGCTCCAGCTCTTCCTTCTCCTTGGTCAGGGACGACTTTTGCTCTTTCAGCTTCGAGCAGGCATTGCTGAGTATGTCGATCTCCTCTTTCGTTATTTCCTCTTCCTGCAAAGAGGACACACAAGCGCCCTAACAGAAACCTGGCTGGAGGAAAATCATTACTGACCCCCCACCTCCAGAGTACTCAGCAGCTCTTCTGTCCACACCGTCTGCTCCTGACGTGCACACAGAGGCCAGCAGACACACGCACAGTCCCCATCCTTGCCCCCACGTGCCCAGGTGTGCCTGTGCCACCACGCATGCAAGCCCAGGACACCATCACCAACTGACAGAGACCTGTCGGCCACCCAAAACCTTTCTGTGCCCAGGCTGGCTCGGAGCTGCTCTCCAGCAGCTCAAACACATCCCAGACGGTGAGCTCATGCAGGTAGGACATCGTCCCCCCGCCTCACTGGGAGCCCCCCTCCCCACCTCTGTGTTGTCCTGGGCCTCCAGGGGCCGAACAGCTTCCCAGCCAGAGGACAAACCAAACCTGCTCCTCCACCACAGGCCATCCTAGCTCCTCTCAGTCTGCACGCATGTTCTAGAACAAGCCTGCCCACTTCCACACCAAGCCTGCTGGGATGCTGATGGGTCCAGACATGGGCATCAGCGGCAGAATGGACACCTCACGAGGACCCCAGCACACACAAACGCAGAACACCCGTTGGAGGTAAGGAACCTCAGCGGCCCCTCAGCATTTGGCGGTACAGTGCAGTTGCGATACTGTCAGACTCAGCCCAGGGGCTCCCTGCAGGGACCGTCCGCCATACTGAGACTGCCGGTCGCTTGCTCATCAACGGCCCAGAGAAGCGGCGATCATTTTCGGCTGCTCACACCCTCTGCGGACAGGCAGTTTCGCTCCCCCCTTCCGACTGGGTGCTCTCATTCCCCTCCTCTAATTGTGCTGGCCAGAACCTCGGCACATTGCTGAACGGGGCAGCCAGTGCGGATGCCAGGGACCGAGCGAGCTGCAGCTATTTCCACAGAAGCTCCCCGTCGGGTGAGAGCGTTCTCCTCGACTCGCTCGCTGGGAAATTTTTTTTTTTTTTTTTTTTTTTTTAATCAGAACAGATACTGGATTCTGTGAAGTGCTTTTTCTGCATTTATCGAGATGCTCATACGTGGTTTTTCTCTTCATTCTGTCAATACGCTCGTTATACTGACTGTTGTTTTGTATTCCCAGGAGATCACGATGTATTAGCCTTTTCACAGAATAGCTGCGTCTGATTTACTAAGAGTTGGTTCAGAACTTGTACATCTGCGTCCCGAAAGATATGGCTGTGCAGTGCTCTCCCAGCGATCTGGTACTGGCATCAGCTAACGCCCATCTCAGGAGGAGCTGGAAACGGTCCCCCTCTTCGGCTTTCTGCGAACACTCTGTGGAGCACTGAAGGATCTCCCTAGAAACTTGGGGCCTGTGAAGCCACATGGGTCTGGCTTTCCCTAGGCTTTCAGCCACAAGCTCAATGTCCTTACCCAAGGGAGAACTAATCAGGCTCTCTGTGCAGCCCCAGCAGACGGCCAGGAGAGGTAAAACCTATGAGGTCGCACTGCAAATGGGGACGGAGGCACTTGCTTTTCTCACTCCTTACAGTAACTTTCCAGGGAACAAAGGCTCGTAGCTGTCAGTTTTGTAAAGGTTTGTGTTTCTTGCTAAGAAATCCTCACCAAACCTCAGTTCTTCTGACCGGTCTAACTGCCCTTTCACATTATCCGTTGGAAAGGGGTTGCATCTGTTTCCATGAAGACAGTCACTGTCCCAGCTCTATTTAATAACAAGTGCCCCTTCTTCCCGAGCTGCATTCCATGGGCCCAGCAGGGCTCCATCTCTGCTCAGCTGTCCATGTCCCAGCCTTCCACCCCCTTAAAAATGACCCTGACCCCTCCCTGAGTCACCCTTTGAGCCCAGCTTGGTCCCAGATTCCTGGGACCCTATTCCTCCCAACCTCCTCGATGTGTCCTTACCAGTACATCTGTTTCCAGAATGGCCCTGGCCTCCCACCTCACAGGCCTGTCCCACACACCTTCCTCCACCCAAACACATGGCCTCTGAGAACCAGAGTCTTAGGCAGCTGCACCAGCTCGGATCTGCTACCCCGAGTCTTCTTGCAACAGCGGTCTAGATCCTCCCTGAGACCAGCTCTCCCTGCGGCCTGCCACAGTGGGGCCTTCCTTCCCCACGGGCCTGGAGAAGGCTGGCATTCCCCCTCCTCCCGGCAGCTCCACCCTGAGACACCCACAGGGGAGCTTTTCCTTCCAGCTCTGCCCCACAACTGCTCCTACTGAGCCACGGACGACCTCACCCTCCCCATTAGGGGTCTGTCTTCAGGCCTCCCCCACCCAGCCCTCAATGCTCCTGATGAGGCCCACCCTCCCCTGGAAACAACTCTCCCCACTAGGTATAGGCATGGTGGGAGCACAAGTGGTTCCTCTACAGCCTCGTCTCTCCTCCGGCCTTCGAACGTGGAGGCCACCGTGTCCCGGCCCCTCTGGGACCTCACTTGAATTTCCCCCACCCCCCACCAACACGAATCCACGGCCCTGGTCTCTCTCCTACTCCAGCTGCCAAACCGACATTGCCGTCTGTCTGAAGAGACTTCCCGTACCCAACACCTGGCAGTTCCAGACAGAAGGGGTCCCACGTGGGAAGTGGCTACCACCTGGACAGTCAGACCCCCTAGAAAGAAGTATCCTGCTAGGGTGCCCAGCACATCAGGCTGGGTGGGGATCACACCAGCTCCCCCTCCTTCCCACTGTGCAGCCACTGGGAGGACAGAGGGTCCAGGGGGCCAAGCACCAGGCACCTCCACCTTCCAGCCACTCAGGCCCAGAGTTCAGAGCATAGCTTGCCGTTCGCACAGCAACCTGGGCCTCCTGAGAACACCTCCAAGCTGCAGCCTCACCCCTTACCCCCCCACGACCATCTGCTGTCACCCTGAGCCAGGCCATGGTGCCTCTGGAACCCCCGCCCCACAAGCCAGCCCCTTCTTCACCCTCCTGTTGGGCTCCAACATGGCCTGCCTTCCGGGCCTGCGTGCATGGTTACCTTCAAGCCTTCTAGGACAGGGGCCGTGTCCTTCAGGGCCTCTGACGGCAGGGTCACCTCAGGCACTCTGGGCTGCAGCTCGGCCGCAGGCCTCCCAGGAACAGCCTCTGCCGCCACTTCCGGCTCCACTTCCTTCTGAAATGCAAGGCCACCGCCGGCTCAGCACCAAATGGCACCCCAGCTGCTGTCCTGGAGCGTCAGCGCCAGCACAGACTGAGGGCGCGTTGTCAACAGGCCGGCCACGCGCCAGTGGAGGTTTTCATGAAAGCCCGGCAGCCAGCGTTGGGGGGTCGGGGTGTCTCCCACAAGGTGTCCCCGCCAGGCTCTGATGGGCACGTTCCACGACTCATGCAGCTGTGCACTGGCACTCGCCAGGTCCATGGAGGCTCCCGTCTAACACTGTACCAGCACCTATGTCCATCCTCAGTCCTTCTCTGACAAGTGCACGAAGCTGCCCCATGGCCTCCAGAGCAAACACACCCACTGCCCAGGCCGGGGGGGCCCAAAGAGAACATGGGCACTGTGCTGTCCCTCTGCCCATTGGTGGAGCCAGCCACACTGGGCGCTGGCACCCGGGCCACTGGAGAGGCAGCCAATCCCGTCCCCTGGGCACTCCAGGCAGAAGACAGGAGACGGGCCAGAGGGACCCTCTCGACGTGGTTCCACAAACAGCTTCTAGAAAAGCTGGAGCAGACGGCCTTAGCTTGTCCCAATGCTCCGTGTGGCTCCCGCGCTGCCCAGGCAGGCACAGGGACCCGGCGGTCGCTTACCGCCGCATCGGGGCGCCGCTGCAGCTCCTTCTCCAAGTGTTCACGCCGGATGGCTGCCTCCTCCTGCAGCGTGGCCTCCAGCTTGGCCTTGTTGTCCACCTGCTCACCTTCCACTTCGGCCACCTTCACCTGGGCCTCCTTCGCCTGCACAAAGGGGAGACTATGAGGGGGTGTCTGTGGCCTGAGGTGCCCCCATGGCACCCCCAGACCACCTGCACCTGGACTCCCACTTGGGAACTCCGTCTGCTGGACATGCTGCAAGGCGGCTGAGGGGCACCTTCTGTGCTGTCACAGGAACCCTCAGCATCAGAGCGGACTGACGAGACAGTGTGGGGAGCATCCCCAGAAGTGAGAGGGCCCCCTGCCTTCCAGAGCAAGCCACAGATGCAGTCTCCTGGCACACATACCACGATCTCTGGGAGCGTCTGCAGCGTGGACTTGAGCTGGTCGGCGGGCGAGAGGGTGTCCGGGAGGTACATGGCCCGGGACAGGATGAGCAGGGATGTCGGGATCTCCTGGTGCAGGTGCAGCTCCAGCCACTGCAGTTGGGGGAAAAGATAGGCTCTGCTGGCCGCCTCCCACCGGCCTCTCTTGGGACCTGGACCCTGGGATCTTCTCTCTTACAGTTTCATGGCAGAGGGGGGCTGGAGTAGATGGACTCACTAGCTCACTCAAGGAAGGGCTCCCCAAAAACAAGACTCCTCAGTTTCTACAAGGCCCACCTACTCCTGCCTCTTAGGACCTGATGCCCACCTCAGCCAACCAAGCCTGAGATGCCCCCAGGGTCGTGAACGAGCGGAGCACTAGCAGCCTGGCCGCTAGGCTCAGAAAGCATGGAGTGTGGCGACCACACACTCTGTTAATGAACTGCTCCATTTACTAATTTTTTAATTTTTATTTTACTTTTTTTATGAGGTGGGGCAAAGTCCCAACATGGGACTCCATCTCGACCCTGAGATCACGAGCTGAGGTGTCGGCCACTCCACCAACTGCACCACTAGCCGCCCCTAAAGCTCTTCACGTCCAAGCGCCACAGATGCTTCGGGATCAGCAGCTGTGGTCTCAGAAGGCTCTCAGGGCTCTGCTGGCCCCGTGAGGGCTAGGCACTGTTGGGAGGGGTGTTAGTGACAGAAAGACAGCGTTCAAACTGACCAGACCAACACAGGGTTTGCACACAAACTGTACACAGGACAGAAGCTGAGACAAAACGGAGGACCCACGACCAGGGAAACCTACAGACTTGGACTTGCAACAGCGGCCCGCAAGCACACGTGGCCAGCTGTGCTCAAGGAAGGCTGCCCGGGGAAGACACAGGGGGACTCAGCCTGTGGAGAAATTTCCACCAGGGGACCCATATGCTCAAAAGTGCATGTGCTGAAAGAGGAGAAACAGGTGTGGACACGTCTCTGTCTACACGTGGAGGACAACCCCAGACAGGGAGTCGAGTCGGGGGTGGAGAGGGGGCGCAGCCATGCGTTAGGTCTTCTGATGTGACAGCTCAAGGGCCGTGGATGTCCCCTTCCAACATCTAACCTACACAAACTGATGCCAGCTGCAGACCTGGGCTCTGGATGCGGACCAAGGGCCCTCTGAGCTGCAGGAGAAAGCACAGCACAGCCAAAAGAGACGCTCAGGCTGGGCTGGCCTGGGTCCTAGTTACGCAGAAGGCCCTGGCCTCATAAGTTATAAGGCAGACTGGGATTTTAAGGGAGGTTAACCGAGTCCTCATCTGTCCACACAGGACCAGAGTGGGACAGTCAGGATGGGAATATCAGCCAGGAGTGAACACACAGGTACGTGAGCACACGACAGAGCCAGGCCACTGCGCACCCTCATCCAAATCCAGCTGCCCCTGGAGTTTGGGGGTGTCTTTCCACCACAAGCCCATCTACACTGGCTGGACACAGGCAAGCCCTTTAGCCACATACCTGCTTCAGTTGGTCTCTCAGACGGTCCTCCGTGACCCCGAGGGCCCGCATGCCTCGTGCCCGACATGCCGACTGCAACTCCTTGACATTCAGGCTGTCCACCCCTTCCTCAGCGATCAGCTGTAATGGAAAGTCAACTGAGCCCATGCGGAAAGGTCACTCCAGGGTTATGTGTCCTGTCAGACGCGCTCCTGATATGCCTCGCCGAGCACAAGACGCACCAGAACCACCAGGGCCTCAGCTGGGGGTCTGCAGGGACCAGAACTATCTGACAGAAGGTGGGGATTCAGGAGGCACACAGTGGCCAGGACCCCACCTCTGCCCAGGCCCTGCTCGCCACGTTTGACAGCCTCTTCCTCCTCTTCCTCAGGGTCGCCCCAGCTTTCCTCCCCATCCCCCATGGTCCTCCAGCCAAAAGGGAGAAAGGATGGAGAGCAAAGTGATGCCAACTTTTTTTTTTTTTTAATTTTATTTATTTATTTGACAGACAGAGATCACAAGTAGGCAGAGAGGCAGGCAGAGAGAGAGAGAGAGGGGGAAGCAGACTCCCTGCTGAGCAGAGAGCCCGATGCGGGGCTCGATCCCAGGACCCTGAGACCATGACCCGAGCCGAAGGCAGAGGCTTAACCCACTGAGCCACCCAGGTGCCCCTGATGCCAACCTTCTGAAGAGGTCTCCTGGCCTCAGCCCAACGTCAAGGGGACCCAAGTGAGAAGAGCGAACCGGAGTCCTAGTCCCAGAGGCCCCCTCGGCTGGCCCCTCTCGAGTCTCCCTATGACCGTGAGGCGGACAGCACCGTGACTCCCCTTCTCTGAGGTAAGCTTTCCATTCTGAGAGGACTGGAGACCAACATGCAAATGTGACAGCAGGGTTTCTGCCAACACTAAGGAAGCACAATGCTGACAGTCGTAGCATGGTGACACCACACCAAGCAGGAAAGCCTCCTGTCCCCAGGGGGACTGTGTGCTTTCACACACTCCCACCTCCTGAACCCCTGGCAACCTCTCCCCTGCTCCTTGTTTCCAGCACACGTGCAGCTTGCCACAACTTCCGGGACATCCAGGAGGACGCGGAACCTGCTCATCTGTAAGCAGACAGCCCTGTGCCAGAGACCGTCCTGCTTTAACCACTCTCCCACTCCCATGCAGCTGGATCTCTTCAGTTTGGGGTTATTAGGAAAAAGCAGTCTCTGTTTTCATTTCCCTGTCTTCCCATGGGTTCCACAGTTCCATGTGGACTTGTTTCCCATGCCTCTGAGTCCCATCTCCTTACGGGGCACGCACAGAGGTCACTCACTGTCCACATCCTCGTCCCAGTCCCGGCGACATGTAGGAACCTCAGCCCCCAGATGACCCTTGACCTCTCCCACTCACGATGCACTCGTCTCAACAACTCCTCCTTCCACGGAGAGCCACCTTGCACAGCCCCGTCGTTTCCGCTGTGACCACTGCACTTCATGCAGAAGGTAGACGAGAAGGGAAGTCTACTGGGTTTACCTGTGTTTGCTTGCCATGCTCTTTCTTCCTCATGGGCCAGGCCTTCTCCCGTCACAGCTGACCCGTGACCAACATGGGCTTAAATTGTGCAGGTCCACTCACACTCGGGTTTTCTCGACAAAGGACAGCACTAGAAATGTCCTTTCTCGTCCTTACAATTTTAGTAACATTTTCTTTTGTCTAGCTTACTCTATTTTAATACAGCACACAACACATATTACACACAAAAGAGGTCTTTGCCAACTGTTTATGACACCGGTAAGGCTTCTGGTCCACAGGAGGCTCTTAGGTAAGTTTTTGGGGGTCAGATGTCACACACTGTGGCCTAGCTGTGCCACTTGCCTGCCTACCACCAAGGGACACAGAGGCAAGGAGCTCCCTCCAGCTGTGTTTTTAATGGAGTCAAATCCCATCTTGAGCATTTTGTTTTCTTTCTCTAAGAACATAGCCTGAAACACTACAGAGCTGAGGATCATATAAAAGATGCGTTTGTAAACATCACAAAGTTTTACATACATTCACTGTGTGTTTCTGCTGCTTTCTAGGTAATTTACTTCGTAACACATTACCACCACTTGTAAATAACTTCTGTACGGTAACACCATTGCAGTTATGGATAAAGAGACTAATTAAAAAGTTACATGCGGATTTTCACCTGTGTTGGGGGGATGCGGGGTCCAGAGTCCCTAACCCCCACATCATTCAAGGTCTATGTCCCTTCCGATTACAGCTCCTCCCCCAGGCTGAGGGCAGAGGTGCTGGTGGTGAAGTTCTCTTAGTTTTCCTTCTTCTGAGAATGTCAATCCCCACCCCCGCCCCCTTACAGAATATTTTCACTGGGAACAGGCTTCTGAGTTGGCAGGGTTTTTTCCAGCAAGTGAACAATATTGCTCCACTTCCTTCCAGCCCCTAGTTTCCGCAGAGCACCTTCCCTGTGGGCCAGACACCATTCTAACGCTGCTGTTGAAATCAGCGATCTTCAGTGTTGTTCCGTTTGACAATGACTATCCTCCTGTGGACTTTTTTTTTTTTTTTGAAGATTTTATTTATTTATTTGACATACAGAGATCACAAGTAGGCAGAGAGGCAGGCAGAGAGAGAGGGAAGCAGGCTTCCTGCTGAGCAGAGAGCCCGATGTGGGGCTCGATCCCAGGACCCTGGGATCATGACCTGAGCCGAAGGCAGAGGCTTTAACGCACTGAGCCACCCAGGCGCCCCTCCTCCTGTGGATTTCTTTTTTTGTTTTGTTTTGTTTAATTTATTTTTTATAAACATATATTTTTATCCCCAGGGGTACAGGTCTGTGAATTGCCAGGTTTTCACACTTCACAGCACTCACCCCAGCACCTCCTGTGGATTTCTTTGGGTTGATCCCACCTCAGGTTCACTCAGCTTCTAAAATTTGTTGATTCAGGTATTTTACTAAATCTGAAAAGAGTTCAGCTGTTATATCTTCCAGCACTTTCCTGGTTCTGCCCTTCCTCCTCTCTTTCCAGAACTCTGACAAGTATGTGAGATGCTTTCCTTTAGTCCCCACAGGTGGCTGAAGCCCTGCTCATTTTTTTTTTTTTAAGATTATATTTATTCATTTGTGAGAGAGAGAGAAAGCACACAAGCAGGGGAAACAGCAGAGGGAGACTTCCCACTCAACAGGGAGCCTGACATGGAACTCAATCTCAGGACCCTGATATCATGACCTGAGCCAAAGTCAGTTGCTTAACCAAGTGAGCCACTCCGACGCCCCCCAATGCTCATTTTTTTCAACTGTTTTCTCAGATGTTCAGATGGGTGATTTCTATTGTCTGATCTTAAAAGTTCACTGGCCCGGTCTTCTGTCCTTTCCCTTTTGCTATATAAGGGACCTATTTTGGATTTTATTTTTCACTTCTAAATTTCCATTTAGTGGGATGCATGGGTGGCTCAGTCGGTTGAGCATCTGACTCACGGTTTCGTCTCAGGTCATAATTTCGTGGTCATGGGACTGAGCCCCACACTGGGCTCCATGCTCAGGGCACAATCTGCTTCAGGTTCTTTTTCCTTCCCCTTCTGCTCCTCCCTGTTCATGCTTGCACTCTAAAATAAAATCTTTATATGAAAAAAGAATTCCATTTGGTTTTTCTCCATTTTCTTTGCTAAGACTCGTCTTGAACGTGGCTACGGGACAGCAGCTGCTTCACAACTCTCATCTGGTGTCTCACGTCTCTGCTGCCTCCATGGGCTGCCTTTTCTCATTCACTCTGAGAGCCTTCAGTTCTTCTTCTTTTCTCTTTTTTTTTTTAAGATTTTATTTATTTATTTGACAGAGAGATCACAAGTAGGCAGAGAGAGAGGGGGAAGCAGGCTCCCTGCTGAGCAGAGAGCCTGATGTGGGGCTCAATCCCAGGACCCCAGTGGCAGAGGCTTAACCCACTGAGCCACCCAGGCCCCCCCTCCTTTTATGGAAAGATTTTAATCTCTCTTTTTTAAAGCTCCCCATGGATCCCAGTGTAGGGCTTGAACTCACAACCCTGACATCAAGACCTGAGCTGAGATCAGAAGTTGGACGACAGGTGCCCCACGAGGAGTGGTTTTCACGAAGAGTGGCTTACACTTTAAACCCAGACGTTTTAGGTATCGGACAGGAGACCCTGGATCTTGTCTTGGTATTCAATCTTCGCTGGCCCCCTCGGACACCACTCCAGCACAGGAGTGGCGTGTGACATTCTAACCAACTTTGACAGATTTTGCAGTTTGTCTGGCCATCTACTGACCAAACCAACAAGCCTACGTGGCTTCAGTCTCCCCCGTGGCCTGGCTTTCATGGGAATGCAAGAATCCTGTTTCAAACTCTCCAACCACAAAGCCCTAGCCACTCCTCCCATGTGAGGACTAAAGGCCAAGCCCCAGGTCCTCCCTCGCTCCCGTTTCCTAGTTCCCAGGTGTGGCAAGGTCTCATCTGGCCCTCAGTGGGGGCTCTGCCTCCATTTCTAGGCCCAAATGTGAGTCATAAGCTCCCTTGATGGCTGACCTCTCTGGGCTAGCTCTCAGTTATATATATATATTCCAGCCTGGAATAGGCTGGGTGCCAGCTCTTTGTTGCCAGGCCCCCATTCAGCCTCCACTGAGTCCCAGGGGATGCACCTCTGTTTCTGCTGGGTAATGGGGATTCAAGCTCCGGTCTTCCACCAGGGCTCTCCATGCCTCCTGGGCTAGGAGGAGCAGGTGGCCCAGCTGGCTCTGGACACCATCCCAGCGGGATGCAGGAGGAGCCTTGGGAATGGTCAGGTGGAGGAGGAGGTCCTGGCCCCTGCTGGCCCGCTAACACTATGCCCGGGTGAGCAGGGTGGCTCAGCACCATCGGCCGGCCTTCCTGGACATCATCCTGGCTGTGACATCCTCACAAAGGCGGAGGTCTCAGCCCTCAGCCAGCAGTACACATGGTGGGGGTGACACCATCTCCCTTGGGGTCTGGCTGAAGTACAGAAGTTACTGCCCCAAGTCCCCTGTCCTTTGAAACAGCTCCTTTCCTGTCCTCTGGCCAGACAGAGCATGCTTCTGTTAGGGTTTTTTTTGTTTACTTTTTTTTTTTCCAAAAGATTTTAATTTTAAGTCATCTCTACGCCCCACATGGGGCTCCAACCTGAAGCCCTGAGATCAAGTGTGACACGCTCCAGCGACAGAGCCAGCTGGTGCCCCCATCAGAACTCTGAGGTCTGCACGCATGAGCACCTCTTCATCTCTTCAGCCCTGAGGTACAAAGACCAACCTGGTTGGTCCTGAGGTCCCAGGGTCTTCTCAAACTTCTTGTGTGTTCATCACTTAACATCAACACCCAGGGGAAAGGAACCCCATTCCACCTTCCTGACAGTGGAGGTCCAGCCGCTGTCCTACGTTACAGGACTCTGAGGCACTGAGCAGTGGGATGACTTGTCCAAGGTCACAGAGCAAGAAAGTGGGCAGGACTCAACCCCAGGCCACCTACCCTTGAGTTGCCTCTCCCCAGGTGGGGTGGCAGAGACTGAGGGCAGCCACACCGCAGGCTGTCCTACGGCCACACTGTGGGTTCCTCCACAGCCACACAGCAGCCACACCCTGCAGGCTCCCCCATGACCACACAGCAGGCTCCCCCGCAGCCACACGGCAGCCACACGGTAGGCTGTCCCACAGCCACAAGGCAGCCACAGTGTGTGCTCCTCTGCAGCCACACGGCAGCCACAGCACAGGCCCCCCCAGTCACATGGCAGCCATAGTGCAGCCCCCCCCAAGTCACACAGCAGCCACAGTGCGCTCTGCCAGAGTGGACATCCAGAGCACCCTCCCAGACAATCTGCACCATACTAAAGAAAGGGTTTCTTTTCAGTCTCACAAAAATGCAGATACTCTGCTACTTCTAGCTACAAGGAGGAGCCAACTATCACCGGACCCACACCCCTGCTGAGAGCTCCTAGAAAAGCCAGATGAAACACACAAATACACACCCGGTGGCATCAGAAAGCTAACATGACAAGGGCTCAGGGACAGCGAGATGATGTGCCTGGAAAGGCCAGGCAACCACGGAGGTGTGGGCCCTCCATCTGTGAACCCCTGGGGACGCGGCAGCATCTGCTGACTCTTAGTGCAGGCTGAGAGGCCAGTCCCAGGGCCACAGCTAAGAAGCACAGACATCTCACCAAGCTAAGTTGACAGCTGGAAGCGAAAGGTTGCTTGGTAGACAGGCCTTGAGGGCCGCTGCCCAGGGAGGAGGAAGGGTGGGAAAGAACCCTGGTATCAGGCTCTCTAGCTGAGCAGCACAAAGGCGAGGAGCTGGGCAGAAACTCTTCACAAAGCAGAGGGGCCTCCAGGGCCCTGCTGTGCAGGCAGCACTATAGGGAAGGGCTGCGGTGGGGCTGTAGGACGACCAGCCCTGATCGCAGTTAGTGACCCCCAGGTGACCGGACCCTCAAGAGACTTGGGTGGGCCCCTCCAGGAGGATGACGGCAACAGCTGGAAGCTAGGAAACTTTGCACAGACATGTCTGCGTTCAGGAACAACTAGACACTGCAAATGCACTAGCCCAAGAAGATGAAACAAAACAAAGACCTACAGTCCAGTTATCAGAATAATCAGACAGGAACTACGACGAGCTATTCAAGAAAGTGGAGCACAAGCATTCTGGAGCAAAGACTGAACACCTCCGAGATGTGCCTAGAGAGCTAGGAGGACATCAGACGCCAGACACTGTACAGCAAGCACTGCTGGAGAAAAAGAAGGGTGTTTCAGGAGCTCGTGCCGAAAAAAGTGCACTGGAACCATGGGCAGGGCAGCCACTGGGATGTGGGCAGGCCAACCAGGAGGACACAGTGGTCAGCATAGCCCTGGGAGCAAGCTGGTTGTAGGCCACTCTTTTTATGAAAACTATCAAAGATCTGGAACAAAAATCCATGTTAAAAGATGTTTATTACAGTGCTGTCTCGGGTAGCAAAATATTAGCGAAAGTGATGGTTAATAAATTCTGATGCGTCCAAGTAACAAAACATTAGGCAATCGCTGCCACTCATCCTTCTAGCAAACACTCAGCGACACGGGCAGGTCTCCTAACATCCTGCCAAGTGACTAGCTGCTGGCGGGATGGTTCCAGCGTGATTCCAGCAGACATGCACATGCTTTCAGTGTGCGTGCACAGAGCACGGCAGGGGGCAAATAGCCACAACTGGGGAATGACAGGGCCACCAGAGCTTTAGAGTGAGGACATGGAAGGCGCCGGAAGAGGCAGAGCCACGACCTCCGGCCACTCACCTTGTCGTCAGCCTTGATGGACCGCAGCCTCATGGTGAGCTGGAAACGCAGAAAGTTGTTGGTGCCAATGGACTGGAGCTCCAGCAGCTTGCACAGGGCCACCAGCTGCGGCCGAGTCAGGTTATCCAGGGTCAGCTCATCCTCAAACAGCTTGGAGAAACGCAGGATCTCCTCATTGCTGGGTCTCTCGCCAGTCTCTCGGATCTGCAGGAGCAATCATGTGGGTGAGCCCTGTTGGGGGGTGGTGCTCCCCAGTGCCACCCACGGACTTGGGTCACAAGCCTCAAGTGAAGAAACAAAGGAGGATAAGGTGAAGAGCCCCAGACCATGCACACCCTCCCTTGGGTCCACCCTGTCATCACACTCCTACTGGGGAGGACCCCTGGAGGGCTCCAGGCCCTGAGCACAGCCAGTGCTAGCTCCCAGCAGATGAGGTCTCCAGGCAGCACATGGCTGCCGACCACCCTGCTCCTGCCCAGGCCAGCCAAACCAAGGCTGCTGACTGGCAAGAGGCTCCCACTGTGGATGTAGCTGGCCCCCCCAGCCTGGCCCTCCAGCACGTCACTGCTGTAGGGTCTTAGTTCCTCATCTGCCAAACTCTACGTCCCCTGGGGCTGCAGCAAAGACTGGAGACACCATGGCGAATGTGAGGTTCAAGTTCTCAGGACAGCAGGCTTGACCTCCCTGAGTACGGGGTCGGGGTGGGGCTCCCGGTCAAACCCCCTATGCACCAGCCCACACCTGTCTGGGAGACCCACTCTTGCCGTGGGTGGTAGAGCAGAGGGAAGAAAAGAAGTGAGGTGTGCCCCCACGTAGGACGGGAGCAGCCCTGAGGCTCTAACCAGCATTTGGGACCGGTGGGCTGAGGCCACCAGGGCCCCAAAGCATCACGGCACCTTCTGGAAAAACACGGAGAAATCTTTGGTGGCGTTCCCCTTGGCTGCCTTATTCTTCAAGGCCATCTCCTCAATGGTGTCCTGGAGGAACTTGGCCAGTTCCAGCTTGACCCGCAGCTCCTTCTTCAGCCTCTCCTCCTGAGGGTCAAAGAGGGGGTGCTTCACTCCTCTGGCCTGCACCCCGGCACCTCCATGGCTTCCCTGGATAGCACCAGTCAGACCAGTTGCTTCCATTCCTCCAATGGAAACCCCCGCAAGGAGTTCACGTTACTCCTCAACCCAGGGCCACCCACATTTCCCTGAACAGCACTCACTCCCACCCAGGCGCTATGCATTCTGAGACTTTCTTTTCTAGTTCACAGTTTTAGAAAATATTTGTGTGGCCTCTTACAGCAGGGGTCGGCCAGTGACACTTTGAAGTTTCATGGGCCGTGTGGCACGAAACCAGTCCCTGGCTGTGGGGGCAGCCGCCGCCAGCCCGGCCTACAGCAGGTTGGCCTTGCCCTCCATGGGTTCTCACCCCCACCAACAGCCTCAACCCATGCCCTGAAGAGGTGGGCTAGAGAAACCGTATGTAAAACAGGTTTAAAGAGAAGCATCTCTGAAACCCATCCTTGACCCCCCACAGCGCAGCCTGGCTGAGTGAAGGAGACACACAACACCTGAGCCTCAGCCACGAAAAGTGCAGACGTCGTAACTGCGTCCATAGCCGCCCTGCCCTGAGTTCACCGCCCCTGTGGCCCCTCACCTTGATGGACTGGGTCTCAAACGTAGACGGCAACATGTTGGGGAAGAGCTTCACAGCGACAGGAAGCAGGAACTCCATGAATGGCACCACCACAAAGACCAGGAAGGGAACCAGGCGAAAGAGGTCAGCGCATATCCGGAGAAACTGAGTAAACGCGGAAGGGATCAGAGGGTGAGGCAATGCCATTGCTCACACGGCCGTCAGAGGCGCGACCACAGGCACCGCCTGCCAGGGATCAGCGAGAGCGTGAAGTTCCAAACAGCTCTACCGACTGCTCCCAAAGCCGGCTCTTAATTCTGTGGCCAAACCATGGGAAGACAGCCTTCAGAAAGGAGGGCTGGAAGCTTGCCGTAGGAGCCGCCCCATCCCTTTGTGCCCTGCCCACTTGGGGCGGGGGGGTCCTGCTCAGCACAGATGGCCTGGCACAGTCATGGTACTGCCCACAGGCTTGAACGCCATGGGACAGGAGTGGCAGGCTGACGACCTGCCACTGCTGACAAGCAAGGGCCACCAGGGAAGTCTGTGGCCACGCTACCCACCCCACGTGGGCGGCAGAAAGGAAGAGTGCAGGTTGTGTGTTTCTCCAGATAGCCTGACTTGAGCCTGCACTACACACCAATGATCAGACAAACACCCAAGGGCTTCATCGACAGAAATCAACTACCACTGAAGCCATTAAAGAAATGCACAAGCTGAAATCCCCCGAAACCTGAGACGACACTCCCTGCCAGGCCCCCAGGCAGCTCAGCCTTCTCTTCAGTCATGACCAGGCAACGACGGTCTACACTCACAACTCTCCAGCCTCCCAGGAAACAAAGGCACCCTGTGCACATATGTGCGCACTTCCACTGTCACAACCTGCTCTGTGCTCGCGAAGAGCAACGTCGTTCCTAGAAATGGCTTCGTTTTGGCCTTGTCTGACACTTCCGACTGGGCTCCAGGGGTACATCCCCAATGGAGCACGGCTCCCCGAGGGCTACAACCCCTCCCGGCAGTCAGGAGCCACCTGCCTCTTGATTGTCCTGCATATAAGGAGGACACAGCAGAGGTTATTCTCCCCAGACCAGTCTCTACTCTGAGGGTCACAGAACAGGGACCCCCAACCTGAACCTATCTCATTTACAAACCTCGCACATTCACTTTCCTATTTATTTTCAAAACCAACTCATGGATTCCTCTATTTTTTTCATTTGTTTACAATTCATTACTGTTTTTATTCGTATACTCAAATGGTCCAAAATTAGACCACGGAAAGACCCTTTCAGTTAAGGTGTTTTTTGACTTCATCCATTAATTTTTTTGTTAGTAGTTCTACTGAGGTTTAATTTGCATTCCACAACATTCACCACTGAGTGTGTCATTCAATGATTTTTGGGTAAATTTACAGATTTGGAACATGTTTGTTGTGCCGTAAAGCTCCCCATGTCCGTCTGCAGTCAAGCTCTGTTTCTACCCTTAGCCCGAGGCAAATAGTAAATTGACTCATTTCTATAAATTTGCTTTATTTGGACATTTCCCATTCGCGGAACAGTACAATATATTCTTTGGCGTCTGACTTCTGTCATTAAGTATATGAACATTTAGGAATGTTCTGTCCTTCTGGTGACTTCACCCCTTCAGCATTGTGAATGCAGGACACCAGGAAGACTTTGTCCATCCCTGGTCATCTCTGCTTTGCAATTACCGCAGAACGGTGCTCACGTGCCTGTGCCGGTTCTCTTCTGCCGTCAGCACCACTTCCCTTCCCCACTGTGTCACCTGGAATTTATCTGTGTCCTTACACTTAAGGGGTGTGTCTTGTAGACTGCACAGAGTTGGGTCTTGTTTTGTTTTTTTTTTTTTTAAAGATTTTATTTACTTATTTGACAGAGAGAGATCACAAGTAGGCAGAGAGGCAGGCAGAGAGAGAGGAAGGGAAGCAGGCTTCCCGCTGAGCAGAGAGCCCGATGCGGGGCTCGATCCCAGGACCCTGAGATCATGACCCGAGCCGAAGGCAGCGGCCTAACCCACTGAGCCACCCAGGCGCCCCGGGTCTTGTTTTTTTATCCAATCTCATAATCTCAACCATTCAATTAATAAAACTGGAAAAAAAAAAAAAAAGGAAAACTGTAGGATCATCTAAACAGGTGTAGAGAGGCCTGGGTGGCGAAGTCAGTTAAGCAGCTGACTCATGATCTCGGCTCAGGTCACGATCTCAGGGCCATGAGATCAAGTCCCATGTTGGGCTTCACAGTGTGCAAGGAGCCTGCTTGAGATTCTCTCTCCCTCTGCCCATCCCACCTCTCCCCAAAACAAAATACTCCATCACAACAAAAGATACCAGAACAGTGGACTTTGGTAAATCTGCAAGACACAAGATCAATACATAAAAATTGGTTGTAGCCCTGGGGTGCCTGGATGGCACAGTCGGTTGAGAGTCCAACTCTTGGTTTCGGCTCAGGTCCTGGTCTCAGGATGGTGAGATGGAGCCCCTCGTCGGGCTCTGCACGGGGTGTGGAGTCAGCTTGGGTTTCTCTCTGTGTCCCCCCCACACTCGAGCACATGCATGCTCTTTCTCTCTCAAATAAATAAATCTTTAAAAAGTCAGTTTTACTTCTATATATAGTAGACCCTTGAACAACACAGAGGCTAGGGACAGCAAATCTCCCACCCAGTCAAAAATCCATGTATACATTTTGACTCCCCAAAAATGTAACTGCTAGGAGCCTCCTGTTGACAGAAAGTCTCAGTGAGGACAGAGCAGTTGATGAACACGCATTTTCTATGCTGTAGATTTCATCTGCTGTATTCTTACAATAAAGCCAGACAAAAGAAAATACTAAGAGAATGACAAAAGAAAGTACATTTGCAGTAGTGCATATATATATATTTTTAAAGATTTTATTTATTTATTTGACAGAGATCACAAGCAGGCAGAGAGGCAGGCAGAGAGAGAGGAAAGGAAGCAGAGAGCCCGATGTGGGGCTCAATCCCAGGACCTGGAGATCATGACCTGAGCCGAAGGCAGAGGCTTTAACCCACTGAGCCACCCAGGCGCCCGTAAATATATATTTTTTATATGTTTATACATTTATTTTAAAAATCCACATAAGTGGATCTGCACAGTTCAAACTTCTATTGTTCAAAGGTCAAGTGTACTAGCAATCGACAACTAGAAACTGAAATTTCAAAAAGTCTTTTTACCTACAAGAGCCAAAAGATGGAAGCACCCAAGTGTCCGTGGACAGACAGATGGACAAATGGATGGATAGACAGATGGATAAACAAAACGGACACACAATCCACACAATGGAATGTTATCCAGCCTTAAACAGGAAGGACACTCTGACACCTGACCCCACTGGGATGGACCCCGAGGACATAGTACTGAGTGAAGTGAGCCGGTCGCCAAGGGATGACACTGCGTGACCCACTTACCTGAGGCCCTCAGAGGAGCCAGATTACAGGGACAGGAAGTAGAGGGTGGGTGTTGGGGGTGGGGAGTTAGTGTTCCATGAGGGGCAGAATTTCGGTTTGGTGAGATGGAAGAGCTCTGGAGACGAGGGTGGCCCCGCTGAGCAGAGAGCCTGATGCGGGGCTTGATCCTAGGACCCTGGGATCATGACCTGAGCCGAAGGCAGAGGCTTTAACCCACTGAGCCACCCAGGCGCCCCGTTAAAATGGTAATTTTTGATTGTATATTTTGCCACAATAAAAAATTCCATTTATAATAGCACCAAAAAATATGACAAAGTACAATATTGCTAAGAGAAATGAAGAGAACTGTTTTACTCCACACTGGCCACCCCAAAAAAGTGCCCCCCCTTTGCTTATTTTCGAGTCTTTCCTTACTTTCTTTCTTTTTTTAAAAAAATATTTAATTTATTTATTTGACAAAGAGAGACCGAGAGAGAGAGAGAGAGAGAGAGAGGGAACACAAGCAGGGGGAGTGGGAGGGGGGAGAAGCAGGCTTCCCGCTGAGCAGGGAGCCCCTAGCTCAATCCTAGGACCCTGAGATCATGACCCGAGGCGAAGGCAGAGGCTTAACGACTGAGCCACCCAGGTGTCCCTTTTCCTTACTTTCTGACACGGGCTCAACCCGTAGCACCGTTGGTGAGCTCTGTCTCCGAGAAGCCCCAGTTCCCCCTTGTGGGCCCGTTAGAAGCCAAGGGCTGGGTGCCAAGTGTGCTCACTGCTACTAGGCTGTCAATTTTGTTAGCCTAAAAGCATTGCCGCATGGTAAACATCAGGGCTCCAACATGCTCCATGTGAAGCCAGCACTTGGCGAGAAGGCTCTGGGAGGAAGAGCCATGAACACACTGGAGAGGCAGAGAACCAAGCCTGCCCGACAGCCCCCAGCTCCCCAGAGCCCCCGGGAGCCCACCAGCCATGCCCTAGCTGCACTTCTCCACAGAGAGCTCTGCCAGGTATCAGCCGCACGTGGTCCCGGCTGGAAAACCAGGACCCCGGGGCACCTAGAGAGTATGCAGCTACATCGCCGAGCAAGAACAGAGGCCGAAGACAGCACCATCTCTGCCCGCACAGCTGCTCAACACATGGTTAACAGACACACGCTGAAACTCTGGACACACAGCGCTACCTCGTGGTCCCTCCTGCTGACACTGCCACTCGGAGTCATTTCCGCGGGTAAGCCAGAGCTCCTGTGACAGGGCCAGAAGCGCTCCTTCCGCCAAACACACAGGCCCACAGGGCCCAGAGTCAGAACACAAAACTACTCTCCAGATACTTGTGTCACACAGGAACCCCAGACAGGTCTGTCACTCTCTGTTTAACAAGATAGGCAAGCATTCAACAGCTGCATGACCTAAATTCACATTTCAAATGTACCTCCTGCTTATACAACACTTACACAAATTATTCTACAATCTCTTTGCTTTTGTAAACGTAATTTAAGTCACTTTTCTTTAATTATCAGAACTGCCAACATTCTGTTCAAATTCAAAGTACCTATAGGACCCTAACCAAGGGAAAATAGCATTGCTCCACAGACCCTCTCCTTAATGCTGGCAATGGACAGACACGCCACCTCGGCCAAGCCCATGTCCACACAGGGACCTCACCCTGGGATGTGCTCATCTGCTCCAACTCTGTTTTTTCTTTTCTTTTTAAAAAATATTTTATTTATTTATTTTACAGAGATCGCAAGTAGGCAGAGAGGCAGGCAAGGGGTGGGAGGAAGCAGGCTCCCCACTGAGCAGAGCGCCTGATGTGGGGCTCAATCCCAGGACCCTGGGATCATGACCTGACCCGAAGGCAGAGGCTTTAACCCACTGAGCCACCCAGGCACCCCAACTCTGTTTTTTCTTAAAGTTTCACTGTCTTCAATGAAATAGCAAACACATGCACCTTTCAAGGCAGAATGGGACAGGGGCGGAGCAGAAGGGAATCCGAGAAAGCATTAACGTGTGCACTGTACTTGACATCCAGCGAGCACTAACAGTATGATTCTGGAATACCAGTGCCACTGCTCCTTCTTCCAGTCCTCAACCTGCCTCCTCCTAGAATAGCGTCCCCAAGGGACACTCTAGCCAGTTAAAATGACCCACGTTCTCCATGAAGCTCCTGAGAACGAGTATAAAATCCGAAGCCAAAGTAACTCTCAAACATGACAGCCAGTTCCTAAGATCCTCTGAAGGTCAACTTCAAGGGATCACCTGTCGCTGCACCTCTCCTTGGAGAATCTAAGGGTACGGAGAACATAAAGCTGCCCCTTGCCCCCTGGGGACTCACCAAAAAAAAAAAAAAAAAAAAAAAAAAGCAAGAGAGGAAGAAGACAGAAAAATCAACACTGTAACCATCAGTTATTTCAGATAAGAGATCTAGAAAGTCTGGGCTCCTGGAAAAATAGGAAGAATCTTGTTTTAAGAGCCAGGGGATGGCATGGGGCGCCTAGGGGGCTCAGTCAGCAAAGGATCTTCCTTCCAGCTCAGGTAGGATCCCAGGCCTGGGATAGAGTACCATGTTATTCCCACGCATCTGCTTCTCCCCTGCCCTCTGCACCTCCCCCTGCTCATACTCTGTCTAGCTTTCTAGTAAAATCTTTTTAAGATTATATTTAGTTGGGGTTTTTAAAAAAAGATTTTATTTATTTATTTGATAGAGATCACAAGCAGGCAGAGAGGCAAGCAGAGAGAGAGGAAGGGAAGTAGGCTCCCTGCTGAGCAGAGACCCTGATGTGGGGCTTGATTCCAGGACCCTGGGATCATGACCTGAGCTGAAGGCAGAAGCTTTAACCCCCTGCGCCAGTCAGGTGCCCCTAAGATTTTACTTATTTATTTGGCAGAGAGTGATCACAAGTAGGCAGAGAGGCAGGCAGAGAGCCTGATGCAGGGCTTGATCCCAGGACCCTGAGATCATGACCTGAGCCAAAGGAGAGCCTTAACCCACTGAGCCACCCAGGTGCCCCTCTAATAAATAAAATCTTAACAAAGAAAGCACTGGTGGATGGCAGAGAAAGCCAGTGCACTGAATGCCGACCCAGACGGCCAGGGAGCGGGAAATTGGGCAGGTTCTGGAGCGGATGATGGAGGCACAAAAGCTTCTGGCAGAGGAGAAGTACTGCCGTCAGCAGCATCTTACGGAGAAGTTTGCAGGTTATTTTTCCTGTGCTTTTTTTTTTCACACCAGAAGTGGCAAAAAAAGCCTGGAATGTATGTTGAAGCACCCAGAAGGGGAAGCTGCCAGGAGCACTGGCGCCCCTTACCTGCCCGCACCTCTTACCTGCCTGTGTGCCCCTTACCTGCCCACGCCCCTTACCTGTCTGCGCTCCCGGCGGGTCAGACTGTGGCCGTGCAGGATTCGCCAAAGCATACGCGCCGCGATCTTGGTGTCGATCCACAGCAGGCGGAAGCCGTGGTAATAGTGCTTTAGCTCGTCCACAACCCTCTGCCCCAGGGACTTCCGCACGGCCACCTCTGGTGGGGGGCTGTACACGGGGCCACCCTCCTCCAGCTTCTTGTTCTTGTCCTTTAGGGACTTGAGGGACTTCTCCACCACAGAGTCATCGCCCAGCGGGGCCGATGAGTGCCAGCAGCGCAAGGGAAGGAACAGTGGCCCTGGGACAACCAGACTGGTAGAGGTGAGGGCCCACGGTGCTCCGGCCGCTGAGCACGTGCGCTCAGGCCTCAGAGTCCAGTAGCCACGGGGATCGGCTTTGAAGCAAAGGTGCACGGGGTGGACAGGAGTGCGGCAGTGAAATGGCACGATCCTTGTAAAGGAAGAAAGAAAAACAGTGATGAGGAGCCAGCCACAGTCCACAACCTCCCAGTACCACATACCAATGGGAGCAACACAGACCAGAGCCCTATCACAACCGCTCACACACTCAGCCTTCCCGGCTGGTAAAACAGACTCCCCACTGCTTCCCAATGCCTGGAAACCACAGCAGGAAGAGGAGGAGCTGCCTGCCAGGAGGCTTGTGTGAGAGACCAAAGGCAGCCAGTCCCCATGGGTTCATGGAAGACACCAGGACACCAAGGAGTCTGGGTGAAGGGACAGGCTGGACACAAACAGTACAAGCCAGACCCTTGGATTAGACCCAACCTCAGGGAAGATCTCCCAGATGGGTTCCCAGAATTGGGGAGTCCAGGGTGGGACAGGGGTGGAGAGGGGGTGTCCTTTCCCCTAGCAGATGATTTTCTACAAAGACCTGCAGTTCTTGAGCGAGTCCTGGAAGTCAGTGAGGACACTGAATCAACAGGGCCCCAACCCTGTGTGCGGCCCAACAAAGATGTTTGTGCCAAATGCCAAAAACTTAACAAGTCACGTCCAGAGCCCATTCTTACCCTCTCTTCCCCGTGCTGCTCCCGCTGCTCAGCCCAGAGCCTCAATTATAGTCCAGTGCTGGAGCAACTTACCTGCACGATTCTCAGAGCCCTACAACTGTCTATGTACCCCACCCATCTCACTAGAGACCTCCTCCCTTCCTGGTGCACAGACCCACTTCTGGGAGGCCACAGGCTCCAACTTAACCTCAGAGGCATGTGCGTACAACCAACACGTCCCAGCCTCTTCCCAGCTGCCGGATCATCTCACTGCACCTGGCCCAGCGCCAGCAGTGAGGACCTGAGTTCTACAGCTGCCTGTCCCAGTCCAAATTCCAATCCACTGCTCATTGCTGTGAGACCTTGGGCAACGTAATGAACCCTCCGTGTTTCGGGAGCTTCCTCCACGAACAGGTGTGGTGACACACACACAAAGTCCCCAGAGCCGTGCCTGGAACACAGCAACACCTACCAGAAGGGTGGCAGTGATGACTACCCTCCCATCAAAGCAGCTGAGCAGCAGCCGGTCAGGGCTGGAAGGAAGCTCTGTGAATGTCTAGACTAGATGCACCTTTTACAGACAGGAAACACAGAAGGAAAAACAGAGACGTGCCCATCTCAGTTCGCAGCCTGCATTAAGGGGGCACAGCTGGCACAGGGCACCACCAGCCACACACTGATCAAGCCTGCGCTGGCCTCCTGCCCGCCTGGAGGCCCCGTTCCCGTGTGTGGAGGGCAGGGTCAGTCCTGTGCCATGACCCCCAGATCCCCACAGTCAATGCTTGGGCAGGGAGGTTGGTGGCCTTGAGCCCACCCCGCTGCATCACAGCTCGCAAGAGAGAGGCTGCACGGAGCACAGCGGAGCTGCTCAGCCACATGGGGCTGTGGGACTGCAGCCACAGCCTGGGCCCTCTTGCCTCACCCTCACCTCCTAATGTAGGCGATGACAGTACCCACACACAGTAATGAACCTTACCTCCCATCTCCGTCAAACTTAATTATCCAATTTTCCAACCCTCAATTAGCAAGGAGGCAAGTGGCTGCCACAAGAAGGCATGATGTCAGCAGCTGCAGGGGCAGCCAACAGGCAGAGACAGACTCGTGAAAACAGAGCATGCAGAAAAGCAGCTGGCTTCTCTAGCCGGGGCCAGTGACCCTCTAAGATCTGGCTATCTTCACGCACACTAGAGACTACTATTACTAACAATCTAGCCAGAAAGGTTTAGCTATTTTCCAAAAGCATAAAATTGCATAATCTCTTATTTTAAAAATATTTCTTAGAGTAACACTAATCTGGGCACTGCTGCCTTCCCAAGGGCAGCTGGTGCCCTGCTCTGCCCCAGCTCATGAGAGCCCACAGCTTGGCCTCGCTCTTGAAAAGTGCACGCCTTCCTCACCCACACAGGGTCCATGGGCCCAGCTTCCCACCAGCCAGATCCCAGTCCTGCTTTTCCTTTTCTTTCCTTTCAAAGTGGGGAAAACCCACTCCAGGCAAAAGCAACGTGTCAACAAGAAATTCGCAGTCACTAGAGGACAGACTGTGGGCAATAAAAAACTTGGGGGCTCCTACTGAAGCTGCCCATTTTACTTTAGGGTGCTGATGCCCACATCTACCTCAACACACGCCCCCTGCTGCCACCTTCAAGAAGAGAAAAACTATGAATACCTTGGCTGTTGGCTGGTTCAGTCAGGAGAACAGTCTGACTCTTGATCTCGGGCTTGTGAGTTTGAGACCCACGTTGGGTGGAGAGAGGACTTAAAAATCTTTTAAAAATGAAGAGAAAAATTAAGTGGTGCCTGACAGTAGAACATATTCACAGGGGGGTGCCTGGGTGGCTCAGTGGGTTAAGCCTCTGCCTTCAGCTTAGGTCATGGTCTCGGGGTCCTGGGATCGAGCCCCACATCAGGCTCTCTGCTCGGCGGGGAGCCTGCTTCCTCCTCTCTCTCTGCCTGCCTGTTTGCCTACTTGTGATCTCTATCTGTCAAATAAATAAATAAATAAATAAATAAATAAATAAAAGAACATATTCACAGGGTCAGCATTTCCTGTGCCTCGCGGCACCAGCCACACAACTGCAGCATGGCAGGCAAAGGGACCCAAACCTGCTCTCCCCGAGGCTCTTCCCTAACTCTTGTCAACGACATGACTCCTGTGGCCACACGATTCCTATCATGTCCTGTTCCTGAGGGGACAGCTCACCCAGACAATGGCTTGAGCTAGAACAGGGAGAATCACAAACCTCCACATTGCCCCTTTCCATTCTTCAGGGACATGATTCCGGCAAGGGCAAAGTGATACCAGCAGCAAGAAGGGAAGCAAAGATGAACAACAGAGCAACCAGTGCCAGGACCCAGAGGAGTGATTCCCGAAGTGCAGGACATCTCTCTGCCCAAAGACAAGAGGTGAAACCACGATTGCCTGCAGGACAAGGGGCCCCTCCACCAGGGAGCCGGAGACCACTGCCAACATCTCAATACCTATCAGAGCCCTGGAGGCCCCGTGACACCTAGCATCCCCCATGGGAGGAGCACTCCAGGGGCCAGGGAAGCAGCTTTTAGTGTTTTAGCATTTCTGCAGCCCATCTCAGGAGAACTCAAACCGCACGAGACTCTGGGAAGAGACTCCCGGCAGCCCCTGTCTTCCCACTGAATGAGCTCCAGGATTAATGAGTTAGTTTGCTTATTCCCAATTTTAAGGGCTCCCTCGCTGCCTTTATTTTTATGATAAAGGAGGTCAAGAGCAGCTAGACAATGGCCATGACATTGTCTTGGATCAGAAACTCCCCACCTGCTCACCCTTTGGGGTCTGGACCATTTTAGCTGAAGACTGAGATCGCAAAAGAACCACCAGAGAGAGCACAGTGGCCACCACACTGGCCTCAGGACTGCGTGGACTTCTGTGGCTGGGCTTATACACAGAGCTCTTCCCACAAATGCGGGATGGCCCTGTTAAGTGCACTTTCCTTACGATTTCTTTTGTCTAGCCTGCTTTATTGTAAGAATGAAGCATGTGTTACACAGACGAGACAAGTGAGAATCGACTGTTTGAATTCAGCAAGGCTTCCAGTAAACAGCTGGCTAGCCGTTGTTCAGCTGGGGGAAGTCAAGTCGTATGTGCGTTTTCGAATGCACAGGGGTTGGTGCCCCTGACACCTCCCTGCCTTGCTCAAGGGTCACCTGTCCTTAACCGTGTGGCTCAGTATTTCTTATACTGAACCAGCAAAAGGAAATGCAACACGGCCGGGATGCTGAGACTGATAAAGACTTCAATTCTCACCTGTAACCTCTCATTTGAAGTGTAGCTGTTCATCTGAACAGCTTTTGGTTCCCACTGCTCAACATTTTTTTTTCTTTTCCCTATAATCTTCTTTTATTTTCTTTTATTTATTTTCTTTATTTTTAAGTAGGCTCTACACACAACATGGGGCTCAAACATGGGGCACGACCTTGAGAGGAAGAGTCACCCACTCCACCAACTGAGCCAGCAGGTGCCCCACATTGCTTAACTTTCTAAAGAAAGCACTTAACTTTCTACAAATTGTTAACTTGTAAAAAAATTTGTATTAATAAAGCAGTTTTTATGTTTGTTTATTTGGTTTTATTTCACAGAAAGAGAGAGACCACAAGTAGGCAGAGAGGCAGGCAGAGAGAGAGGGGGGAAAAGGTTCCCTGCCGAGCAAAGAGCCCAACGCGGGGCTCGATCCTGGGACCCCAAGACCATGACCTGAGCCAAAGGCAGAGGCTTAACCCACTGAGCCATCCAGGTGCCCCAGTTTTTATGTTTTAATATGAATCTTAAATGCAGGTACATTTGACTCTTAAAAGGTGGTTGAAAAATTCAACATCCATCCCTAACAAAAACAGGAATAAAAATACAGGGCAGAGAGTACTAAAAACAAAAGCTAACATGACACAGGCCAAACACTAGACACTCCACTGTTTGCTGGAGTGACAACGCAGCTGCTCAGACGCCAGGCCCGGCGGCTGAGGAAGTGGGAAATCAGAAGCACGGGCACCAGAAGGAGAGATGCACAGGGCGCTGGGCCCCAACATACCATGTCTCCAAGGACAGGTGGTACCGTGTGAGCTAGAACACGATAAACGAGCTGTGAGAAGTGGCTGGACACAACAAAAGTGGTGACTTACATGCCAGCAATGATCACGTAGAAAAATAATGAAAAAGAAGACCAGGGACACCACACCCAACATGTCTGGGCATCCTCTTAGAGGCACCAGGTGTGGCCCAGATAAAGAAAATGACAGACCTCTTCCTGAAACAAGAGAAAAGGTCTTACTAAAGAAAACAGCTAACCCCCTAGGAAACTGTGGGCACCTTTAAGTTAATATTCCCAAACAATTTTATGGGTTTTTAAAAAGATTTTATTTATTCATTTGAGAAAGAGAGAAAGAGAGTACGTGCACTAGCAGGGGGAGCAGCAGAGGGAGAGGGAGAAGCAGACTCCCCGCTGAGGGGCTCAATCCCAGGACCCTAGGAGGATGACCTGAGCTGAGGGCAGACACTTAACTGACTGAGCCCCCCAGGAGCCCTGATTTTATGGTTTTGAGGACACTCCAGTTACAATCCCAAAAAGACCACTTTAGAACTGAAATAATTCAGAAGTAAACCCAGAAGGACTGTCCAGAAAGGAAGTGTTCCAGGCCTGGTTCCCTGCAGATAAAAGCCAGCAGGAGGCCTCACTGAAGCAAATGTCAGGCACAGACCAGTCAGACACAAGTGTCCCATGCAAGAGAAAAGGGCACAGAAGGCTCTGCAGGCCGCTGGGGTCACTGATTGGCAGCACCACCCCCCCACCGCCCCACCACCGAGTGGTTCATGCAGGTGAACCAGCCCCCACCGCAGTCCTCTAACCTCCCTTAGAGGTCTGGTACCTAGAAACCAGACACTTCACACAAAAACCCAGACTTCTAGGTTGTCTTGAAAAAAACCAAGAGCTGGCCTTACGAGGCTTTATGGCAAGCAGGAGTTGCACCCCAGGATCAGCAGCCCCTGCTTGCAGCCTCGTGCTGGGCCCCATGCCCCCAAGAGGGTTACCCGTGGATTACAGAGTTTGCTTTAGAATTAAATCTAGAAATGCACACTTAGGCAAGAGTAAAGATGTTCTATGAACATTCATCAATGGCTCCGTATCATAAAAAGAAAGAGCTCATGACAACAATATCTTACACTGGTCAAAAGAGAAGTCTAATTAAAATCAAACCCAGGGGTACCTGGGTGGCTCTGTCGGTTGAGCGGCTGACTCTTGTTTCAGCTCAGGCCATGATCCTGGGGATGTGGGAGGGAGCCCCATGTTGTGCTCCGAACTCAGTGGGGAGTCTGCTCGGGATTGCCTCTCCCCCAACACCCACTCTAAAATAAATAAATAAAATCTTTGAAATCAAACCCAAGATCAGGGTGCCTGGGTGGCTCAGGCAGTTAAGCATCTGCCTTTGGCTCAGGTCATGATCCTGGGGTCCTGGGATCAAGCCCCACATCTGGCTCCCTGCTCAGCAGGGAGTCTGCCTCTCCCTCTCCCTACAGCTCCCCCTGCTTGTGAACACACTCTTTCTCTCACTCTCTCTCTAATAAATAAAATCCTGTTTAAAAAAAAAAAAAAAAAAATCAAACCCAAGAGCCAGGTGGGGAGTACTCTTGCCACATGCAGGGGCCAGCAAGGATTGCTGCTGGGAGGGGCTCTGAATCAGACTCTTCCATGTCCCCACCGTACACCGCATGTGTGCCAACCTCATTCCACAAAGACACTCACACATGCAAGAAAAGCCTCTCAAGCCCCCGGTGTTTAAACACAATTTTGCTTCACCATCAACCAAGTTTTTGTGTATGATTTACATAGTTTTTATTTTAGGGAATTAAATCTGTTCCAGGAAGCATTCTCCAGAAAAGTGTTATAGACAAGATGAAGTGATAAATGAACAAGCTCAAATTATAAGAAAACTCAAAAGACCCTATAGCTCTGTGGTTGTGAGGGGCCAGCTGGACAGCAATTGGGAAAGATGTCTGTATTCCCAGATTGGAAGAATCTGGGCTGTCCAAAGGGAGAGACAGGCTCTACTCTGGGTATCTGGGGCAAGTGGACAAGGGCCTGGGAGTCAAGAGACAGGTCTGGGAATCCAACCACGCAGGTGGGGAAGCTGATCAGAAGGAAACTATGCTCGGGGATGCCAGGCAGAGGGAATGGTGGGTGGGAGAGCACAGGAACCCTGAGGGACGTTCGAGTCCACGTATGACAGTGGACAGGGAAGTATGGATGCCACTCCCCCCAGGAAGTCCTCCAGCCTCACAAAGTACCACCACAGGGAAGGGCTAAGTCCACCACATCCCACACATCCCCCACCAGGTGGGGGCGAGCCTTGCGGCCAACAGTCACTCAACACAATGCTCTACAAAGGACCAAATGGGGTTCGAGGGAGGGTCTTGATGCAGCCTATGTCTCCTTGCACAAGTACATGAAAACCCACAAACAGCTGTGGGAATGTGGAAAAGCACATGGTGCACAGTAAGTACACACTTTTCAAAAACAGACACATGAAGAAAAGACCAGAATAAAATTCACCAAAATGTAATATTTACAACAGGTACTGGGATCATGAATGTTTATTTTCCCAAGTTCCAATAACATATGAGGTTAAAGAACAGGAGGGTAGACTATGCCATCCCCCCCAAATCAGGAGTCACACAGCACTCAAGCATTTTCAAGCTCCCACTTTAAAGGGACACACAGTGACGTTGTTGACTTACAGGTGGCTTATCAGCCCCACGGTGTTGGCACAGCTGAGACAGGCACGATCTCTCAGAGCACCTACGACAAAGACAAGGAGAAAACAAGAATATAAGTCTCAAACCAGGGGCTGCAGACTGATTTCACCTTTTAGAGTCTCTTTTGCAGAGTAAGTCTCTGGAATTCTGTTCTGAATGCTGGAAGGTTTCAGAGTGCTGCTAAGTGAAGGGTCTGTTCAGTTAGGAACACAGGGTCTTGGGGTAGCCCTAGAAAGAAGGGGAATCTTAAACAGCCCCAGGCTTCAAACACCCCAACCAGGGATACCGGGTTTCACCAGCACAGGGTCCACAGAGCCCAGGCCTGGGGGTCTCCCCAGGCAGGACCACTCCCGCACTCCAGCTGATGCCAGGCTGCATGGGACCCCCAAAGCCCAGACACCCCACAGAGCAACAAGGACCCCTTGCAAACAGCCCAACACCTTCTCTGCCCACAGGAGGGGGCGAGGGCTATGAGAATTACTGGTAAAACAGACACTAAGAGCAAGCTATTTCTTGGATAAACAGTACTGGTGAGTGTACAGCATACTTTAATGATTTTGGTGTATTTTTAACACTTTTTCTATATCAGTATGGTTTCTGTAAGCATAAATTCAGAGTTCATTCTCAAGACCAATGCCGGGCTTACCTGGGATCAAGCCCTGTGCTGTGGAGGCCACCTGCGGAGAGAACGTGACAAATATGGGGGCCACGGGGCCAGAGGCACCATGCTGACAGGGTGCCAGGCCACAAGGCTGGAAAGGCAGGCTGGCACCCTAAGACCCTGAGGCAGCAGGAGTACACAGAGCTGGTGCGGGGTACTGAGGGTTCAGTCTAGGAACCAGAGTGAGAAGGGAGGAGAGAAGATGGGCATGACAGGGGACAGGTGCCAGCCCAAAACACCCTTCGAGCAGGCCAGGCAGCAGAGACCCAAGCAGCTCCCGGCGGACCCTCTGGAGACAAAGACTTCTACTTATCACTTTATGTATCCCAAGAGAAACCCAGTGTCATCACAGGCAACTTCTGTGTAGAAGGCTATTCCCATCAAATTCGGGGGACCTTGTAGTATAGGTGACAGTCTTGTTAAGCTGGGCTCTGGGCTCCCAAGTGGTTACCATGATTCATAATCTTTTATACTTCAAACACTACATTTTAAGTAACACGAAGCCCTTCTTACTCCAGCTGAGGACCAAACAGAAGTGTGCAAGACCTGAACCAGCCCCGCACCTCAAGAACATGGCTCAGCCATGGCTCCCAGCCCCGCACTCGCCTCCCCCCAGCAAAAAGACAAGCTGTCACAGCTCCCAGAGCTCCTTGGCCTGCCCTCCCATCACTATATTATGTGAACTGCACATCCCCTGTCCTACCTGGCCCCTTCCCACAATCTCTGCACTCTGAAGGTTTCCCCAGCCCTCCAAGGAGCCTGCTCCTAAGGGATCCAGGGGGAGGACTCGGGGATATGGGCTGTAGATGGGCCATTTCCTCCTTCTATAAGTCCTTTAATCCCCATCCCCACAACCAATTCTCCAACTCTCTGGCCCTAGCTGGACAGCCTACTAGTCGGTTCTGTCTGACCCTACCTGGAGTTAGTGCACCCCCACGGTTATTAAGGCTTCAGTCCCACAACACTGCTCAGCTTCAGACCCCAGTTGCAAATAGGGTCCTCAGGTCACCCACACCTCTGCCAATTACAAATAGGAGGGTTCCCACCACCACTTTGAGTTTTATTAATTCTCTGCAACAACACAGAACTCAGGAAAATTATCTACTATTATAGTTTATTATAAAGGACATGAGGACCAGCCAGATGGGGAGGCACATAGTGCATGGTGTAGAAGACTTCTGAGTGCAGGAGTCTGTGTCCCTCTGGGCTTGGCATCTACAGATGCCACTAAGTCCAATGCTCCCCAAGCCCCCTTAGTCAAGAGTTCTTTTCTTCATTACCTAGACATGACTGATCACACCCTAGGCCACTGGCAATCAATGTCAATTCCCAGACCCTCTCCCCTCCCTGAAGGTTGGGATTCTACAACAGAGCTGAACAGTCCTCAAAACTGTCAAGGAAACCCTGAGAAACATGTCACAGCAGAGACTAAAGAGAAATAACTACAACCTGTAATGTGGTGTCCTGGGTAAGGTCCTGGGGTGCAGCAAGACATCAGAAATAAAATATGTGCACAATAAAGGAAAGGTACTAATAAAAAACAAAGGTGAATAGAAAGTATGTAAATAACAAAGTAAAAAAATCAGAATAAAGTGTGGGACAGAGGGCACCTGAGTGGCTCGGCTAGTTAAGCAACTGCTTTCAGCTCAGGTCATGATCCCGGAGTCCGGGGATCGAGTCCCACATCCGGCTCCCAGCTCCACGGGGAGTCTGCTTCTCCCTCTGACCTTCTCCTCACTCATGCTCTCTCTCACTGTCTCTCCCTCAAATAAATAAATAAAATCTTTAAAATAAAATAAATAAAATTTTAAAAAGTGTGAGACAGAATAAAAGAAATCTGAATACAGTATGGAGCTCAGTTAATAACAATGTACCAATGTTGGTTCACTAATTGTGACAATGAGCCACACTGACAGAAAAATTAATACTGGGGAAACTTGCTGCAGAAAAGGGCCACTGCACCCAGCCAGGAATGTTCTGGAAGGTTCAAGACTGGATTCGGAGTCCAGCCGTGGCTCTCCCAGGCTCTGGATTCCCTGTTGGTCCTACAGCAAACCTAATGTCCAAGCCACTCTCAGCCCCTTCCTGTATAATAAAGAACAGTGCTAACTACAAGAAACATCTGTATTCCCAGAATGACACAACCATAAAAACAATTCTGCTCACTTTTAAACTGTGAACGTGCTACAGAAACCTGAAGTGGCCAAAGTATTTTTATTACCATGCTTAACAGGGAAGAGATACACGGAGAACTCTAACAGCAGAGGGACCTGGACACCCAGACCATTCACACCGTCAACTCCCGCTGCTCAGTGCCCTTCCCATGGCTCCAAAGTTCTAAGCAGCCAACAGTCATTACTGTTAAAAATTACAAGAATCATGTTTCTTGGGTGTGCTTTTGTGAATCCTAAAGTAGTTTGAAATATATTTCACTTGAGCCTCTAATACTTGTAAGGGCAGTCCTAATCTTAACAGATAAGGAACAAACTCAGGTTAATGTAAAAAGAATCAGAAAGGGAGTCTGGGCTACTGACATATGGACCCCTAAGAACCCCGAGTTAGGTGTGATCTCTATGTGGACAGCAGAATCACAGAGGCTGGGGATACCAGGGGACCTGCCTGGGGCCATCCCGAGCAAGGCCAGGGGTCCCCTCTACAAACACGTAACAGTACTAGAATACCGGCGCTGCGGTTGTCCTACAAGCCCGCAGACCCTGGCCATCTCATCTCAAGGAGTCCTAAACGTGTCCCAAGGGCACGACTTTCCCCGAGAGTGAACACCGCGTTCCACCAAGCTTAACCACAACAGGAGCGCCCAGACCGTCCCAGGGCTGGCCGTTAGCGCGCTCCCTTCAAAAAACTTTCCGAACCCCGCTCAGGACGCCGCCGCCAGCAGTCGGGCGGCTAAGGTCACGGCGCGAGTGAGTCACAGGCCGCCGCCCCGCGCGCGGCTCCCACACCCCGACACCGGGCTGGCCAGGGCGGGGCAGAGGGGCGAGGCGGCGCAAGGTCCCAGCCCCGCGTGACCCCAGCCCCAGCCCAAGGTCCGAGCGCCACTACCCAGCGACCCACCAGGGCGCCGGCCGGCGCTGTGCTGCCGCGGGGCAGCCGAGGCCCGAGGCTCGAGGCCCGAGACCGTCCACCAGGACTCCCCGCCCTCTGCTCCCGTCCTCCCGACGCCGCCGGTCCCGGCCCCAGGCCTCGGCCCCGCCCGGGCCCCGTGCCCCGCCGCCGCCCGGCCCACCCGACCCCGCCGGCCCCGGCTCCAGGCCCCGCGCTGTCGGCAGAGAGCTGGCTTCTTACCCCTCCGGGCGGCGGTGCGGGGCGGCGGGAGGCGAGAGGGCGCCCAGCTGCAGCAGCTCCTCAATAAGATGGACGCCATGTGCCCAGCCGCGGCGGCCGCTCGGGCCTCCTGCTGCTGCCTCCTCCTCCTGCGCGGCGGCTGCGGCTGCTCGCCCGCCCGCCGGCGCCTCGGCCCGCCGGCGCGGACGGTTGAAGGCGACGGTTGGCTCCCGGCGGCGGGCGCTCAGCTCAAGGACCCGGTACCGGCGGCAGCCATGTTCCGGCACAGCGTCCGGCAGCGCGGGGCGGGGCAGCCAGGCCGCCGCTCCCATTGGGCCCCTCGGGCGCCCGCCGCCCGCCAGGTGCAGGGCGGGCTCGCGCCGCCGCGGACTGCGGGTCCCGGCGTGCCCCGCGACGGCCGGACCCCGAGACCGCGCGGAATTCTGGGGCCCGTCGCGCCGGCCGCGCATGCGCGCTGGGCCCTTCCGGGTCAGGGCAGGCGGAGGGCGGCGGCGCGCGCTGCCGGGGGCGCTCGGGGGAGGACCCTATGGCGGAACGCCGTCCACCGGGTTTGGGTGGCCGAGCAGGTGCTCGCTGTGGGTTTTGTCACCGGCCGGCGCGTATCCCCGAGGGGCCCTCCCTGGGGCCGGGCCTAGGGCGGTGCCCCCAGCTCGCGGGCTCACCCTCCCAGCTGAGCTCAGACGCCTGCTCCAGAAGACCTTCCACCCAGAGCGGACCTTTTAGCCCACGCTCTCCTTTCCTAAGATGGGGTTCTTTCGCCATGGTCGTACGGGGACGAAGGAGGTGATGCAGGGAAAGCAGGCAGGGAGAGATGGGGTGGGCGGCTCCTGGGGTTCAGTGGACGTGGTCCCCCCGCCCCCCTCAGTAGGCAACTCCTGCCAGCCTGCAATCCAGCCCGGCGGCAACAGGCTCCTCCTCGGGACTCGCTCCCCTCCTTGCCCCATCCCACGCTTAGCCTGGAAGGCCTTTTACCTCCCTCTGGCCTCACGTGCCTGTTTCTTGTTCGCGGATGTAAATCCCAAGGTACCGCTTAGGGGAGGTCCGGCAGTACTTATTCGGTGCAGAACTGTTCTCTGGGCTGCAGGAGTGTGGAAGCCCTAATCTTAGCAGGCTCCCCGCTCTTGAGAGACTGAACTTGGTTGAATTGCATGTCTGTTTGGGGGGCTCGGCCCTCAACATCAGGAAGAAGTTGCCTGCCTGCAGTGGTTTTCTTTTCCGGGACTGTGAGATGCTGGGCGGAGATGGGCCTGGCGTCCCCATCTCAGGTGGGAGAAAATGGAGCTAGTTAGTGCAGAGCATTTGGGAGACCAGACGAAGTGCTTATGTTGGCACTGGGCAGTGAGCGCTACGGACATGATACACAGAGTTAATCTAAGCACGTTGATGCTTGAAACAGGCCTCCAAGGTCAAAAGCCCATAAAGCCAGAACCCTATCCTGTACATCCCTCAGGAGGCAATGGTGGGATAACGAAGGACAGTTCTTGTCCGTGGACCCCAGGGTCAGGTCTGAATCAGGGCAAACAGGTGCTCAGGATCAGATAGGACTGGCCTTCCAATGTCCAAAGTGTAGGAGAAGGCTTGTGCTAATACTAGTAACTGACATTGGCCCTCAGCTCCTGAAGGCTGTGTTCCAAAGCCATCAAGGGGCAGGTAGGGAGCCCCACAGAGTGGGTGAGAATCAAAGCTGGTCCCTAACAATGCTGTAAGTGTCTGCAGGACTTTGAAGGACAGAAGATGGGGGGAAGGCCCCATCTGCCTCTGTACTGCCCAAGGGGCCAAGTGTAAGGAAATACGGCAACAAAGTTCAGTTGCCCTTGGCATGATTCTCCTGTGGCCCACCTAGGTTGCATGAGAGAGAGAAGCAAAAATAGAGGGGGCGCTTGTGAACACCCACCTGGGATGCTTTCTGCAGCTCCACTGCTAGGGTGGAGTTTTAGGGAAAGTCATTTTTAACAATACCTTTATTGGACTTTATTTTTTCAAAGATTTTATTTATTTGAGAGAGTCAAGCCAGGCGAGAGGCAGAGGGAGAGGGAGACGCAGGCTCCCTGATGAGCAGGGAGCCCAATGCAGGCCTCCATCCCCGGACCCTGAGATTAGGACCTGAGCCTAGAAGGCAGAGGCTCAACCGACTGAACTCCCCAGGCAATCCCCATTATTGGTTTTTCTTATTAGCTAAAGAACATGTGCTTATTATAAGCATTTTAAGTTTATAAAAATAAATATAAAGGGGCGCCTGTGTGGCTCAGTTGGTTAAGCGGCTGCCTTCAGCTGAGGTCATGGTCCCAGGGTCATGGGATGGAGCCTCTCATCAGGCTCCCTGCTTGGCGGGGAATCTGCTTCTCCCTTTGCCTCTCGCCCCTGTTTGTGCATTCGCTCACTCTCTTTCAAATAAATAAAATCTTTAAAAATAAAAGACATATAAAGAAACAAGTAGAGGGGTACCTGGCTGGCTCAATCCATAAAGCATGCAGGGCTTGATGTTGGGGTCAGAAGTTCAAGTCCTACGTTGGGCATAGAGCTTACTTAATAATAAAAATAATAATTAAAAAAACAAGTAGAAACCTGGCATCCTGCCAGCTTGCCATCCATACCCTTAATGCCACGTTAGTGGCTGCCTTCTTGCTCCCCGCCTACTCATGCAGCAGTCCAAGTGTACAGAATCCTGGCAGCGGGTCTGTTTTTGTATCACAGACTCTGCTGTTTTTCTTTCTTTTTTTTACAGGCCTTTTTCTTTTCTCTATGCTCCCTACAAATTGAACATAATCTTCCATAGTCGCTCCATGTTTACACAAGTGACAAGAGTCCCAAGAAACAAGGTGGGATACACAGCACAAATGCCCCAGCTAGGGAGGTTAGAGAATCGGTTGAGGATGAGGTCAGGAGTCAGGTTAGGGATCTGGTTGGGGGGAGGTCATGTTAGACACTGGGTTAGAGGATCAGGTTAGGAATCAGGATAGCGGAGGAAGACCCAGCTGTTTGCCCTCCTGTGGATCAGGATCAGGATCAGGCTCAGAGCAGGTGAAACTGGATTGCACAGGGTTGGAGTTTTGCCCAGAAGGGTGATGAAGGAAGAGAGGGACTGTAGAGTTTAAGATGTGTGCAAAAGAGTGGCTGTAAGGTTTGACTGGGAAATTTAAACGGGGGATGAGGGGAAGTGAGGAAAAGGTGGGAGCAGCTTGGGTTAGTGGAAAGTGGCAGGACCACTGCCCTGTGGGGCTGCAGGTCCTGAAGGGCGTTGGGAGTCAGGCACCATGGGAGTCAGGTACCACAGCAAGTGAGCTAGCAAAAGAGGGATGTTCACAGTGGGTGGTGGGTGGCTTGCATTTATTGGCTATGGCAAGTGGCGAGGATGTGAGCCCAGGAGAAGGGCCTGAAGTGAAGCTGAAGGGCAAGGCCCTTTGGGGTGGAAGAGCCAGGACACCTTTGAGCACCATGGGGAAAGGCATGCCTTCCTCCAACTGAAAGCAGCCTCAGCCAGGCATACACAGCAAAAGGAGCAGGTAACTAGCCTCCAGTCCTATCTTGTTGTTGGAACAACATACACAACCAAGGTGATGGCCCGGACGAGAGTATGGAAGAGACTTTTATTTGGGTCCTTGAGTACACAGGAATGGTGTCTATGGGGCTGAGACTAAGCCTACTCACTCCCCACAGCGTCACCCATTCTTAGGTTTCTGGGTTTCCTGGAAAATGCTCCATTCAGCAGCTTTCCTTGACCCTTCTGCTTCCTTCTTCCTGCCAAGCACTGTGGGTGATGGGATGGAAAGGACGGACCATGGACTGCTGATCTTGGACTTGTTCTACTAATCGAGGAAACATCCATCTTTTCTCAGCCACTGTTATTTGAAGGGGTTTCTGTATATAAAACTGAACTTTATTATAACAAACTCAAGGACAGATCCCTAGAAGCTGGATTGCTGAGTCAGTGTGACTGCCAAGGTATATTTTTGTAAACCTTTAAAATTAAAGTTTTTATTATTTTTTAAGATTTTATTTATTAGAGAGAGCAAGCACGGGGAAAAGCAGGGGGAGCCTGACATAGGACTCTATCCCAGAACCCTGGAATCATGACCTGAGCTGAAGTTAGACGCTTAGCCAACTGAGCCACCCAGGTGCCCCTCATTTGGTGGTTTTTAACAGCTTCTATTTTTTCTATAGAGGTTTCTCTTCATTCATTAGATCATATTTTCCTTTATTGAATATCTTCAAACACCTGCCTTAAAGTTTTTCTCCGCCATATCTAAAACTGGGCTTATGGTTGTTTTTTTCTTTTCTTTTTTTTTTTTTTAAGATTTTATTTATTTATTTGACAGACAGAAATCACAAGTAGACAGAGAGGCAGACAGAGAGAGAGGAGGAAGCAGGCTTCCTGCTGAGCAGAGAGCCCGATGCGGGGCTCCATCCCAGGACCCTAAGATCATGACCTGAGCTGAAGGCAGAGGCTTTAACCCACTGAGCCACCCAGGTGCCCCATTTTCTTTTCTTTTTTAAGATTTTATTTATTTATTTGACAGAGATCACAGGCACTCAGAGAAAGAGGAAGAAGCAAGCTCCCCACTGAGCAGAGAGCCCAAAGCGGGGCTTGATCCCAGGACCCTGGGATCATGACCTGAGCTGAAGGCAGAGGCTTTAACCCACTGAGCCACCCAGGTGCCCCTCCAATTTGCTTTTTTAAAAAGACAAATGTTTCTACATTTGTGGGAAAACTGGTGAGCTCTGAATCAAGCCTAGAATTTAGTTAGTGGTAATGGACTGATGCTGGTTTCTTAGTTTTGACAAAGCTACCATGGAGGGGCACCTGAGTGGCTCAGTGGGTTAAAGGCTCTGCCTTCGGCTCAGGTCATGATCCGAAAGTCCTGGGATTGAGCCCCACATCGGGCTCTCTGTTGGGCAGGGAGACTGCTTCCCTTCCTCTCTCTCTGCCTCTCTCTCTGCCTACTTGTGATTTCTCTCTCTCTCTGTCAAATAAATAAACAAAATCTTTAAAATAAATAAATAAATAAAAATAAATTTAAAAAAAAAGCTACCATGGAAATGTGAGCTGTTGAGACTAGGGGAAACAGGTGGGCAACTGTTATCTGTGCATCTTTTCTGTAAATATAAACTTATTACAAAGACGCCTGGGTTGCTCAGTCTGAGAAGCGTCTGCCTTCAGCTCAGGTCATGATCCCAGGGTCCTGAGACTGAGTCCTGCATCGGGCTCCCTGCTCAGCGGGGAGCCTGCTTCTCCCTCTGCCTGATGCTCCACCTGCTT